GCCCCCTGCCCCCTGCCCCCTGCCCTCCTGCCCCCTGCCCCCTGCCCCCTGCCCCCTGCTCCCTGCCCCCTGCCCCCTGCCCTCCTGCCCCCTACCCCCTGCCCCCTGCCCCCTGCCCTCCTGCCCCCTGCCCCCTGCCCCCTGCCCCCTGCTCCCTGCCCTCCAGCCCCCTGCCCTCCTGCCCCCTGCCCCCTGCCCTCCTGCCCCCTGTCCCCTGCTCCCCACTCCCTGCCCCTGCCCCCTGCCCCCTGCCCCCTGCCCTCCAGCCCCCTGCCCTCCTGCCCCCTGCCCCCTGCCCCCTGCTCCCCGCTCCCCGCCCCCTGCCCCCTGCCCTCCAGCCCCCTGCCCTCCGGCCCCCTGCCTGCCCGGCCTGGACAACCGCGAGGGGCACACACTGAGCACCTGGGCTCAGCGCCTCCCATGCCAACATGGAAACCCCAAACCCCGGCTCCCACTTGTGGGCTGGGAGCTGGGCCTGGGGCGCAGCACCCCTAGGTGCTGTGGGGGGGCTGTCCCTAGGCAAGCAGGCCTGAGGGCTATGTGTGCCCCACTCTCCCCATCGGCCACCACCCCCCAATGAGCCCACAGCCGCAGGGAGCCCGGGGTCCTCCTGCCGCCGCAGCCAGTGCACTCGCTGGAGCCCTCAGCTGCGGCCGGCCACGACGGGGGCAGGAGGGACAGGGGAACCCGCAGGGGCCCCCGGTTTGGGGCGAGGAGGAGCTGGGAGGGAGGGAGCCGGGAGGGAGGGGCACCCCGGCCTGAGCCCCTGGCCTGGAGCACAGGCCGGCCAGGGGCAGCTGCACCGGGAAGGCCGATGCCTGAGGGTCCAGCTGGGGTCCGGGTCCTATGTCGGGGGCGGATGGAGGAGGCAGGGATGGGGCTGGTGGGCAGGCCGGGCAGGGCTGGGGCCCACGAGGGGACGTCAGAGGCTCCCAGGCCCTGGGAGGTGAGGGGGGGCAGGAAGGGGAGTCTGGAGGATGGGGGTGCTGAGGGCAGCCCCGAGGGTGCTGGCGGCCCGGGCCCTGGGTGGCAGCGGCTCCTCCACCCGGCCACTCCCTGCCGGCAGCACCGCAGCCGGGGGAGCGGGCAGGGCTCGGGAGCCAGCAGAGCCGCGGCCTCTCCCGGCGTGCACCCAGCACGTGGTGTTACCTCTCTGGCCTCCGCTTCCTCCTCGGAGGCTCCGGCTGGGCCCAGGCCGTGACCACCGGTGCCCGGCCGGGCCCTCTGGGAGGCAGCCTCACCTCCACGGGGCGGGCAGCTCGGCCGGCACAGAGACAGGCCCAGCTGCCGGTGATGGCAACGGCGTGCTCGCCGAGCCCAGGGACGCCACGCGGGAGAGCCCGCCACCGGCCAGGCCTGCCCGGCGACAGCCCGGGGCCGTGGGAGCGGATGGAGCAGGGTCTGCATGACAAGCAGCCGGCACAAAGGCAGGTTCAGAGGAGTCTGGCACAGAGGCTGACGCTCAGCCCGCCCCACCCGCTCACACGGGCCCGGCTCCAGCCCAGGCGGGCGCCGGTTAGAACCCGCTGTGCCAGGTGCCCGTACCCGGCCCCTGTGTGAATTCTCATTCCACCTTCACAGGGATCCCATTTCACAGATGGGGAGACTGAGGCCGAATAGGACAAGGCCGGCCGGCCCAGCGGGCCTAGTCCCAGCGTGGCCTCAGCCGGCAGCACCACCATAGCAGCCCCTCGGCTGTCCAATCGGGGCCTGGCCTGGGGGTGTCTGGTCTGTGTCCTCGTCCGTGTCCACCCATCTCCCGGAGGCCTCAGGAGCCCGCCCCTCAGGGGCTTCTGGCCGGCGGGTGGGGCAGGACCCAGGGTGCAGGCGGGTCAGGGCCACGACCTGGGCAGAGTCCCAGGGGGCCCCTCCTGCTGCTCCGGTTTGCAAACTGTGACGAGCCCAGGCGGCCTGGCCCTGAGCGGCGGCCGACGCCCTCTCCCCCCAGGTCCCCGGGGCCCGAGCAGAGGTGCTGCCGCTGCTGAACCTGGGAGCGTCAGGTGCCGGCCCCCAGAAGCCAGGGCGGGCCCCCTGAGCCGCCGTCCAGCAGGGAGGCACCGGGCCGGCGAGGCGGGGCCCTCGGTGCGGAGGGTGCACGGGTTCGAGACCTCCTGCTCCGAAGTCCTTCCTGCCTCTTCCTGGATCCCCGCAGAGGCCTGAGCGGGACGGAGGTCAGAACCGGACCGAGGGCCCACCCGCCCGGCCTTGCCCCTTCTCCACGGCTGGAGGCCCCGCCGTCGGGACACCGGCCACCTTCCCTCCCGGTGGGACCCCCCTGCACCCTCTGCCCCCGTGGCCGGCAGCAGCGGCCGCGCTGCCCCTCCCCGCGCGGGCCGCCTGCCCTCAGAGCAGGGGGTCAGGCGCGCGCTCAGCGGTGCACAGAGCCTCGCGTGCCTGTGCCATCGGCGGCCGCCGAGAGCCAGCCACAGGCCTCGGGGCAGTCCGCCTCTGCCCCGCGCGCACGCAGGCGAACACGGTGTGCTCACGCAGGCGAACACGGGCGCGCACGCAGGCGAACACGGTGTGCTCACGCAGGTGAACACGGGCGTGCATGCAGGCGAACACGGTGTGCTCACGCAGGTGAACACGGGCGTGCACGCGCACGGCCCTCCCCGCACTGTGATGCCAGCTGCCGGGTGGGCGGAGCCACGGCGGACACAGCACAGCGTGGCGCTCGGTAAGGCCTGTCCGCTCTGGCCTCCGGCTCTGGGACACTCCGGGGACCCGCCCTCCCCCAGCCCAGCTCAACCTGACCCTCCCACTCCCAGCCCTTCCGGGCCCCGGCCTCACCGCCCTCTCCTCCCCGCACTGCACACAGGCCCGCCCCGTCAGACAAGGGTTCCCCAACCCCACAGGCCTGGCTTTTCCCCGTTCCCCCACCCGGCACGCCTTCCCACACCCGAGCACAAGGGCTCCTGGAGGCAGTGCCTCCTCCGAGAAGCCTCCTCCCAGCGCCCCCCAGAGGCCTCAGGCGCCCAGCCCTGCCTGGCCGCCAGGAGTGCTCTGAGGGCCGGATGCCCGAGGGTTCAGTGCGGCTCAGTGAGCAGGTTGGCCCCGGAGGAGGCGGGGCCGGGCCAGGGCTTGGTGCTCCTGCCCCCCAGCCGCCAGCTCCCCTCTCCTGGCACCAGAACGCTCCCGCCTCCCCGTGCCTGTCTTGGCAGCACCAGCCCGACCTGACTGCTCGCTCCAGCTTCACCTGCCGCAGGCCCCGCGTGAGCAGGGGGCAGGAGGAGGGGAGGGGAGCACCAGCCCCCTGCCTCCCCCACCTCCCCTCCGGCCTGGCCTGGCGCTGAAGACTCCCTCCGCCAGCCCCTGCCCCCGCCGGGCGGGCCCTGGGAAGCAGCCGGAGCCCTGGGCTGGGACACCTGACGCTGCCGCCACGCCCCTGCCCAGAGCCGGCTGCATGGCGGCCGGGCAGCTCACGCTCAGTCCTGGGGGGGAGGAGTCAGGACCCTGTTCAGGCTGCGCGCTGCCTCTCGCCCAGGCCCAGGCTGAGAGGTGCAGGGGCGCCCAGGCTCCGCTCAGCCTCACCGCCTGGGCCTCGGCCTTCCCTCCGCCTCCGTCTGCCAGCCTCGCCCCGTCCCGGCTCTGCTCTGCCGTCTGCAGGTCACACGGGATGGGGGGGGGTGGCGGGGGCCTTGGGTCCTCACACCTGAGCCGCTGGCTGGGGAGGCAGCAGGAAGGAACGCTGCCTGCAGGAAGCTGGGTCTGTGTGCTGCCCGGGTCCCTGTGGCTGTCAGCCCCCGACCCCGGCCCCCAGCCCCAGCCCTAGCCTCAGCCCCAGCCCCTGGCTCCCAGCCCCCAGCCCCCCGGCCCCCGGCCCCTCGGCCCCCAGCCCCCAGTCCCCAGCCCCTAGTCCCCAGCCCCAGCCCCCCAGCCCCCCAGCACCCAGCCCCCAGCCCCATCCCCCAGCCCCTCAGCCCCCAGCCCCCAGCCCCCAGCCCCCGGTCCCCCAATCCCCAGTCCCCAGCCCCCCAGTCCCCCAGCCCCTCAGCCCCCAGCCCCCAGCCCCCAGCCCCCGGTCCCCCAATCCCCAGTCCCCAGCCCCCCAGCCCCAGCCCCCCAGTCCCCAGCCCCCCAACCCCCCAGCCACGCAGAGGGACCTCTTGAAGCAATGGCTCTGGTGGCCCCAACCTGGGGCGTCACCACGTGTGACGGGGAAAACGCTGAGCCTGCCACTCGCACAGCCTCCTGAGTGGGGCAGGGTGTGTGTGTGTGTGTGCTCCCGTCTCCCTGGCCATCCTCTGGGCTCTGTGCCCCGCCCTCCATCCCTACCATCCCCCTGCCCTCCCGCCCCCCCTGCACCCGCGTCCGGCCTGGACCCAGTGCTCTCAGAGGTAGAGGCCAGAGGCCCCGCCTCCCTTGGCGAGGGAGCCAGGCCAGTGGGGGCAGAGTCAGGCGGAGGGAGGAGGCTGGCGGGTGCCCTGCGGGGCGGCCGCAGGGGGAAGGGGTGTATGCCAGGCGGGGCCAATGAGAGCGAGGCGGCACAGACACTGGTGCCCCCGAGAGAGTGGGTGTCCCGGTCCCTCTGGGTGGGCTGGAGTCTCAGGTCTCCCCGGGAGTGGGGACCCGCACTTGGCCCCGATGGGCCCGGGTCAGGTTCACCGGGAAGCTCAGCCAGGGTCGGTGCCAGGCCGAGCCCCGGGTCACCGGGCCAGACAGCGGTCCAGCCCCTCGAAGCGGCTTCATGGTGGGGTGCACTGGGCCTCAGGGCCCCCCCACATGGGGACCCCAATCCACCCAGGCAGGAGGCACCTACTGCGGGCAGTGAGCACACCCCGGCCTGCCCCTGCGGGCGGGCTGAGCACCCCCAGGGAAGGCTGAGGGTGAGACGGGCCCGGCCGCCCCAGGTGCTGGGGCCCAGGTGGGTCCCAGGCGCCCGCCCGCCCGCAGGCCCAGGGCCCAGGGCCAGCTCCGCCTGCCGCCCGGTGACTCAGCACCTCGCCGGCACCGCGGACTTTGCCCTGCCAGCCTGCGACTGATCCCTGCAGGCTCCCAGGATGCAGGGTGCCGGGGCCCCCGGGGGCCAGAGCCGGGCCCCCTGCGGGACGGGCGCCCGGAGCCGGCCCCGGGTCCTCCTGCTCACCTACCTGCTGACCACACTGGACCTCACCTGCCTCTTCATGCAGTTCTCCGTGCTGCCGGTGAGCCCCGCCCGCCCGCCGGCCCGGGCGCAGCCCGCTCCGCGCCCCCTGTGCACCCGCAGGCGGGGCCTGATGCCCCGGACCCTCTCGCCGGGCGAGGGACCCGGGACCCGGCCTCCTGGCACCCCATCAGCACGTCCCGGGCTCGGGCGCACGGCCTGCCACTGCCCTCCGACCACACCCCCGGACCAGCCGCCTGGGCTTCTGCCGTGGACCCGCCCCTCCCTCCCCACGCTCACACCCACTCGCTCACCCTCGCCGAGCCTCCTCGCCGCACTCCTCTGCCCAGGCCACCCCCGCCCAGCGGCCACCCCGGGGCTTTGGGGTGCCAGAGCCCCTGTCTGGCCTGCCCAGCCCCCACCCAGGCCTGGGGGGAGGAACGGGCATTGCCAGTGCCAACATCCTGGCACTGCCAGGGGCTCCAGGGCAGCGTGAGCCCGACACCTGCCCTCAGGCCCAGCTCCCTCCGCCCACTGCCCCACCCTCAGCATGGGGTGGCCGGGCAGGCCCCACGTCCTCGCCGTAAAACGGGTCCCAGCCACCGGCCCCGGGGGGCTAGTGGGGAGCGATGGGTGCAGTTAGAACCCCAGGAGAGCTGGTGCCCAGCACAGCAGCTGCTGGGGCGGGGCTGATGGCCAGGAGACTGGAGTCCCCCCCCTGTTCCTGGGGGACACTGGTCACTGCCCTCCGCTCCCAGACAGGCCTCAGCGAGAGGGGCCGGGAGGGGCCGCCGCCCGGAGCTCACCGGGCACTGCGGCAGCGTCCCTGTGGCCTGCGGGCACTCGGCCTCACCCACAGCTCTGAGCCCCAGGACAGACCCCGGCCCCCCTAACACCCTCCCCCGTGTCCCAGTACCTGTCCCGCAGGCTGGGCCTGGACTCCGTGGCCTTCGGCTACCTGCAGACGGTCTTCGGTGCGCTCCAGCTGCTGAGCGGGCCCATGTTCGGCAGGTACCATGGGCCGCCGTCCCCCCAAGGCCACGGGCTGCCCTGCCAGGCCCCCCAGGGGGACGCCAGCTCCCGTTCCACAGGGGGGCCCACTGAGGCACCCTGACCCCAGGGTGCCCCCAGGACTCCCACCAGAGAAGAGAGGATCTCACGGGGGGACTCGGGGCTGGAGGCCGCTCCGGGGGGGACGGGGACCCCCTGGCCTCGCCCTCCTCACTCCTTGGGGGGCAGAGCCCCTGCAGGCGTGGGGTCTGCAGGGACTCGCAGGGAGGGACTCCCCGGCAGCGAACACCGCAGACAGGTGGGGGCGGCCGGAGGGGGCCCCACAGGACAGGCTCTGCAGAATGCACACACTGACCCTCCGATCCCAGCCTCCTGCTCGGGGGACGGGGCGCCGGGCGGGGTCAGGCCCCACTGGAAAGGTGGGGACCCAGGCCAGCCTGGGAGCCCGCAGGGGGTGGGGGCGGGCAGAGGAGGGTCTCAGGTGCGGGCCTCCAGGTTCGCAGACCAGCGCGGGGCGCGGGCCGCCCTCACCGCCTCCTTCCTGGCCGGCTCGGCGCTCTACCTGCTCCTGGCGGCCGCCTGCAGCCCCGGCCTGCCGGGCACCGCCCTGCTCTTCGCCTCGCGCCTGCCCGCCCCGCTGCTGCACACGCTGCCAGGTGGGCGCTGACCGGGGCCGGGCCCCCCCGTCAGAGTGCACTGAGAGCAGGCAGGGTGGGGGGGTGGCCTGTGGGAGGTCAGGGAGCAGGGTGGGGGGGTGGCCTGTGGGAGGTCAGGGAGCAGGGTGGGGGGGTGGCCTGTGGGAGGTCAGGGAGCAGGGTGGGGGGGTGGCCTGTGGGAGGTCAGGGAGCAGGGTGGGGGGGTGGCCTGTGGGAGGTCGGGGAGCAGGGTGGGGGGGTGGCCTATGGGGGGTCGGGGAGCAGGCGGGGGGGTGGCCTGTGGGGGGTCGGGGAGCAGGGGGGGGTGGCCTGTGGGAGGTCGGGGAGCAGGGGGGGGTGTGGCCTGTGGGAGGTCGGGGGGGGGGCAGGGTGGGGGTGTGGCCTGTGGGAGGTCGGGGAGCAGGGGGGGTGGCCTGTGGGGGGTCGGGGAGCAGGGGGGTGGTGGCCTGTGGGAGGTCGGGGAGTCGGGGGGGGGGTGGCCTGTGGGAGGTCGGGGGAGTCGGGGGGGGTGGCCTGTGGGGGGTCGGGGAGCAGGGGGGGGTGGCCTGTGGGGGGTCGGGGGAGTCGGGGGGGGTGGCCTGTGGGGGGTCGGGGAGCAGGTGGGGGGGTGGCCTGTGGGGGGTCGGGGAGCGGGGGGTGGCCTGTGGGGGGTCGGGGAGCAGGTGGGGGGGTGGCCTGTGGGGGGTCGGGGAGCAGGGTGGGGGGGTGGCCTGTGGGAGGTCGGGGAGCAGGGGGGGGGTGTGGCCTATGGGAGGTCGGGGGGGGGGCAGGGTGGGGGTGGTGGCCTGTGGGAGGTCGGGGAGCGGGGGGGTGGCCTGTGGGGGGTCGGGGAGCAGGTGGGGGGGTGGCCTGTGGGGGGTCGGGGAGCGGGGGGTGGCCTGTGGGGGGTCGGGGAGCAGGGGGGGGTGGCCTGTGGGGGGTCGGGGAGCGGGGGGGTGGCCTGTGGGGGGTCGGGGAGCAGGGAGGGGTGGCCTGTGGGGGGTCGGGGAGCGGGGGGGTGGCCTGTGGGGGGTCGGGGAGCAGGGGGGGGTGGCCTGTGGGGGGTCGGGGAGCGGGGGGGTGGCCTGTGGGGGGTCGGGGAGCAGGGGGGGGTGTGGCCTATGGGAGGTCGGGGGGGGGTCGGGGAGCGGGGGGGTGGCCTGTGGGAGGTCGGGGGAGTCGGGGGGGTGGCCTGTGGGGGGTCGGGGAGCAGGTGGGGGGGTGGCCTGTGGGGGGTCGGGGAGCGAGGGGGTGGCCTGTGGGAGGTCGGGGAGCAGGGGGGGGTGGCCTGTGGGGGGTCGGGGAGCGGGGGGGTGGCCTGTGGGGGGTCGGGGAGCAGGTGGGGGGGTGGCCTGTGGGGGGTCGGGGAGCGGGGGGGTGGCCTGTGGGGGGTCGGGGAGCGGGGGGGTGGCCTGTGGGGGGTCGGGGAGCGGGGGGGTGGCCTGTGGGAGGTCGGGGAGCAGGGGGGTGTGGCCTATGGGAGGTCGGGGGGGGGCAGGGTGGGGGTGGTGGCCTGTGGGAGGTCGGGGAGCGGGGGGGTGGCCTGTGGGGGGTCGGGGAGCAGGGGGGGTGGCCTGGCCCCCTCACCCCCCCCGCCCCCCCAGCCGCCCAGATGGTGGTCGCGGACCTGTCGGCGCCGGCGGAGCGGCCGGCAGCCCTGGGCCGCCTGGGCCTCTGCTTCGGCGTCGGCACCATCCTGGGCTCGCTGCTCGGCGGGACCCTGAGCGCCGCCTGCGGGTGAGTGGACGGCACGGCCGGGGGGAGGGGGGCAGCCGGCAGGGGGCGCCGTCCCCGTCCCCGCCTCCGGGGCTGCAGGGGGGGCGGGGGAGGGGCGGGGGCAGCCCAGCCGGGCGGGGTCGCTGGGTCACAGGGTCGGGAACCGGACGGCGGCCCTGGGACGGGGTGCTGGGCTGGGAGTCCCGGACCCGGAGGGAGCTGGAGGGCGGCTGCTGACCGCGGGAATGAGGGCTGTCCCCTCCGCACGCGCACACACACATGTGCACACACACGCGCACACACACATGTGCACACACGCGCACACACACGTGCTTGCACACGCACACACGCACACATATACACATGTGTGCGTGCACACACACACGTGCACACACGCAAATACACACACACGCAAATACACACACGCGCACGCATGCGCACCGGCTTTGCGTCCAGAGAGCCCAGCCAGCAGTCCCCCCGGCGGCCACAGGGCCGTCCAGGCCGCCCCCGCCCTGTGAGGGCTGCCCTGGCGCCCTCCGGGGAGAAGGGCTTAACCGAGGCCGCAGTGCCTGGCCCTGCAGAGGCCGCGGCGAGGAGCCCAGTGTCCCCTGCCCCTCCCCCCCGAAGCCCGCACACGCCCAAACCAGCCTTCCTCCAGGAGCGGTGACCTCTGACCTCTGACCCGCCTCCACCCAGCGGTTTGGCTTCGGTCTGGGTGGTGGCAGTGAGCTGCCCAGGGCTGCCTCCAGGGGGCAGATGTCCTGGTGTCGGAACCACACACTCACGTGTGCGCGCACACACACACTGAACATGCTCCCACACACATGCACACACACCTTACACGCTCACGCACACAGGACAGCGGATCTCTGCTTGGCTTCTGGCCGACCCTGACACGTGGCCCCAATCTTGGCGGACCCTGTGCCAGCCCCTAGGCCCCAGTGGGGGGGCAGGGGGCTGTTTCCCCAGGCCACCGGCCCACAGTGTGGGGCGGCTGGAGGTGGCTGAGCCCGGGGTGGGGCCCAGGGAATGGTGGCCCCCTGGGATGCCCCCCAGCATTGCATCAGGGCCTGGGTTCGGGAGCGCCCTCTGCTGAGCCTCCTCCGCTCGTGTTCCTCGCAATGCTTGCTGCACACCCACTCGGCGCCCGGGGACCCAGGTCCTGGGACCGAGCGGCAGACAGACCGGCTGTGGCTCAGACACCCCGACTGTGACATCCCCGCAGGCCAGGCCGAGGAGCAGGGTCGGGGGCCGCGTGGACAGGCGGTCACCTCACTGGAGGGGGGTGCCCGGCCGCGTGGCTCCATGGCTGAGCGTCACCCTGAGCACCAGGCAGCCGTGGCTCAGCCCCTGCCGGGCGCACGCCCAGGTGTGGTACCTTACCGTGCGGGAGGCAGCCAGACCACGGCTCTCCCTCATCACGGAGTTTCCATCTCTCTCCCTCTCCCTTCCTCTCTGACATCAAGACAAATGTTAAAAGGTGAGGGCGGAGGCAGGAGGCGTGTGACTGGAGTGGAGGGAGGAGGGCAGGGGGGAGGCAGGCTGGAGCCCAGGCGGGCGGGGCGGGCGTGGGCGGGCAGGTGTAGCTGAGGCGAGCTGAGAACTGGGGGGAGGGGCTGAGCACGGAGCAGCGAGGGGCTGCCGGCTGCCCGGGCAGGACAGGGCGGCCGGGGCCAGAGCGGCTGGGGGTGGGGGGCGGGGGGCGGGGAGGGGGCAGAGGGCCGGCTCGGCCTGGTTTTGCCCACGGGGCGGGATGGGGGTGCACGTGTGGGGGCCGGTGGAGGAGGGAGTCGGGCGGGCGGAGCCGGCTCCGGGTGTCTCTGAGCCCTGGGAGCCGGTTCGGGTCGCGGTGGGGGGGGCACTGCAGAGGCACCCGAGGGCCGAGGGGAAGGTCCATGGGAGCCGCAAGGCGGGGGTCACGGAGGGGAGGCCCCGGATTCCGCCCGACAGGCACCGCTCCGCCGTGCTGGGCTGAGCCGGGGTCCAGGGAAGCGGCCCCAGTGCCAGGAGAGAAAAGGGGCGCCGGGCTGAGCGGCCGGGCAGGCGGACCCCGCTGCACTGCTCCCTCCGGTCCCTCAGCCCGGCGCCCGCTCCCTCTGTCTCCCCTGGGCAGCGCCCCCGGGCCGGCCCTGCCCCCTCCCCCATGCCGCCCGCTTCCTCTCCAGCCCAGCTGCTGGCCCGGGGGCCACGTCTCTCTCCCTGCCAGCGGCTTCCAGAACATTCCATCCGCTTCCTCTTTCATCCCGAGATCTAAGGCGCTTTATGTCCTGGGAGTTTCCTTTGATGGCGGGAGGCAGGCTCCCGGTGGAGCGCCCAGGCCTTACCCAGGGCCCAGGGAACCGGCTCCAGGTGCCTGATGCCCCGTGGCCAGGGCTGGCACCCCCTCTCCCTGCCCCCTCCCGCACCCCCCCCCAGCAAGGCCCAGCCACCCCGCCTCCTCCCGGGGAGGGGGGAGCGGGCCAGGCCGGCCGGGCTGTGTGCAGGCGGGCGGGCGCTGGCACAGGCGGGCGCTGGCATAACTGGTTTGGCTCAGCGGGAGCCGGCCGGAGGCTGGCCCCTGGGGGGCGGGACAGCTCTGTGACCCGGCTCTGCCCCTGCAGAGCGCGGCAGATCCGCCGGCCACGGTTTCGGCCACGGAGTGTGAGCGTGGGGCGGTGGCGTCGGCCACGGCCACGGCGGAGGGGCTGGGCCCACGTGCCCAGCTCTGACCGGCGCCCGGGGCCTGGGAGCCGGGCTTTATCAGGAGGCGGAGCCGGCCCTGCCCGGCTGGCGAAGGCGTGGGAAAGCCTTATCTCGCGACAGGTTTCCGCCCGCAACACCCCGGCTTCCCCTGCCGCTGCCAAGCCAGCATCCGGCCGACCTGCCGGCCTCGGGGCAGGGCTGACTCACCCGCCGCCAGGCCACCTGCCCGCCTGGTGCTGGGTGGCTCACCGCGGCCGTGCCAGGCTCTGCCTCCAGCCCTGGTGCCAGCCCTCAGACAACCGGGGTGCCAGGCACAAGGGCGTGAGGGCGGGGTGAGGGGCTGGGAGGCCCGGGCGCAGGGCTCCGGGCCGGGTGAGGGTGTAGGCGCCCGGGAGCCTGTGGGTGCAGTGAGGGGCGGCACAGAGGGCCGGGAGCGGGCGGCCATGCTGGGGGCTGTGTGTGGACCTGGCGCTGGAGGAGGCTGTCAGGGGCCGCGCCCCAGGAGTCCCCTCCCCCCTGGGCCCTTCCTCCACGGTCCGGCCTGGAGTTCCAGGCGGTGACCCCATCCCAGCTGACCCCAGCCTGCCCTCCGCTGCCAGGCCCCCCTGCAGCCAGGCCAGGGACCCGGCTACTGCCAGCCCTGAGCCTGGGCCCCGCTGGGAGGCAGCCAGCTTCACAGCGACCCGCCCTGGAGCGGCCGGGGGGCGGGGCCTGGGGCAGGCGGCCAGGCCCCGCCCTCCGGACAGTGTCCTGTGGGCCCCAAGGAGCCTCGGACAGCAGGCAGCCCCTGGAGACCAGGCAGCCTAGGGGGTCCCCGGAGGGAAAGCAGGCCTGACCCCGCCCCTCCTCTGTGTCTGAGGAAGGAGGTCCCCCTTCCGCGGCGTCCGAGAGGCTGTCTGTCCGGCCTCCTGTCCGGCGATGGACAGTCGCGGGGAAGGCGCTGCCTGGCAGCCGACACCCACCTGTCGAGGCCCCTGAGCCGGACCCATCGGGCAGCCCTGGGTCTGAGCTCCCGAGGTCCCAGCACCGGCCCAGGGCGCCCGAGACCCTCTGAGCAGAGGCCCGGCCAGAGCCGCTGCCCGTGTCCCTCCTTCCCGCCCGCATCGGCCTGGGGGCCGGGGCCTCTGAGGCGGGGGACGGCCCTACTCCCCCCGGGCCCCTCGGCCCCGGCCCCTCTGTCTCGCCACCCGAGAGGCACCATCAGGGTCCCAGAAGCGGCCTGGCCCCTGCCGCCGACCCTGCTTGTCACCAGCCCCCAAATCAGCCGTCTGAGGGCCGCTGTGCCCCCACGTTCCCCAGGCATCGGGCAGGGGAAGCTGGCCTGACTCTGGCCCTGCAGGGACATCTGCCCGGAGTCTCTGGGGCAGCGTCCGGTGTCCCTGCCCCGGCACAGGCCGGGCCCTGCGGGGAGGGCGGGCGAGGGCCACTCCGGGCCCAGCCTGGACCTGCAGCCGCCAGGCCACGGAGAGGCCGCGATGGGCCCGGGCAGTGGGAGCCTGGGCAGTGGCCTCGTGGGCAGGGGTGTAGGTAGAGGGGCAGAGCCAGGCCCATGTGGGCGGGAGGGGTTAGGGTAGCACGTGCAGGCTGCACCCCTGTGGGAGCCGGGCAGGTCCCAGCCCGAGGAACGAGGGGGGCCAGGAGCTAGTCCCCACTGGCTTCCCTCTTGGTGTGTGTGCATGCAGGTTGTGTGTGTACATGCATGTACAGTTTTTGTGTATACCGTTTGTGTGTGTGCATGTGTGTGTGCAGTTTGGGGGGGTCTGACACTCGCACAGTTGGGGGGGAGGGCGGGGCACCCCTCTGACCTCCGTGGGGAGCTGAGGGCAGCTGGGGGGAGGCTGCCTGTGGGGGTGCAGGGGCGCCGCTGAGGCCACGGACCTGGCACCGTGTCACTGGTTCCTCAGCCACAGCAGGACGGCCGTGGGGTCAGGAGGGCCATGGGGTCAGGAGGGCGGTGAGGTCAGGAGGGCGGTGGGGTCAGGAGGGCGGTGAGGGCAGGAGGGCGGTGAGGTCAGGACAGTCGTGGGGTCAGGAGGGCCGTGGGGTCAGGAGGGCGGTGAGGTCAGGAGGGCCGTGGGGTCAGGAGGGCGGTGGGGTCAGGAGGGCCGTGGGGTCAGGAGGGCTGTAAGGTCAGGAGGGAGGTGGGGTCAGGAGGGCCGTGGGGTCAGGAGGGCGGTGAGGTCAGGAGGGCGGTGAGGTCAGGAGGGTGATGAGGGCAGGAGGGCCATGGGGTCAGGAGGGCCGTGGGGTCAGGAGGGCGGTGAGGTCAGGAGGGCCGTGGGGTCAGGGGGGCCGTGGGGTCAGGAGGGAGGTGAGGGCAGGACAGTCGTGGGGTCAGGAGGGCCGGGAGGTCAGGAGGGCGGTGGGGTCAGGAGGGCCGTGGGGTCAGGAGGGCGGTGGGGTCAGGAGGGCCGTGGGGTCAGGAGGGCCGTGGGGTCAGGAGGGCGGTGGGGTCAGGAGGGCCGTGGGGTCAGGAGGGCGGTGGGGTCGGGAGGGCTGTGGGGTCAGGAGGTCAGGAGGGCGGTGGGGTCGGGAGGGCGGTGGGGTCGGGAGGGCCGTGGGGTCAGGAGGGCGGTGAGGTCAGGAGGGCGGTGAGGTCAGGAGGGCGGTGAGGGCAGGAGGGCCATGGGGTCAGGAGGGCGGTGGGGTCAGGAGGGCCGTGGGGTCAGGAGGGTCGTGGGGTCAGGAGGGAGGTGAGGGCAGGACAGTCGTGGGGTCAGGAGGGCCGGGAGGTCAGGAGGGCGGTGGGGTCAGGAGGGCGGTGGGGTCAGGAGGGCGGTGAGGTCAGGAGGGCCGTGGGGTCAGGAGGGCGGTGGGGTCAGGAGGGCCGTGGGGTCAGGAGGGCGGTGGGGTCAGGAGGGCGGTGAGGGCAGGAGGGCGGTGAGGTCAGGATAGTCGTGGGGTCAGGAGGGCCGTGGGGTCAGGAGGGCGGTGAGGTCAGGAGGGCCGTGGGGTCAGGAGGGCCGTGGGGTCAGGAGGGAGGTGAGGGCAGGACAGTCGTGGGGTCAGGAGGGCCGGGAGGTCAGGAGGGCGGTGGGGTCAGGAGGGCCGTGGGGTCAGGAGGGCCGTTGGGTCAGGAGGGAGGTGAGGGCAGGACAGTCGTGGGGTCAGGAGGGCCGTGGGGTCAGGAGGGCGGTGGGGTCAGGAGGGCCGTGGGGTCAGGAGGGCGGTGGGGTCAGGAGGGCGGTGAGGGCAGGAGGGCGGTGAGGTCAGGACAGTCGTGGGGTCAGGAGGGCAGTGGGGTCAGGAGGGCGGTGAGGTCAGGAGGGCCGTGGGGTCAGGAGGGCGGTGAGGTCAGGAGGGCGGTGAGGTCAGGAGGGTGATGAGGGCAGGAGGGCCATGGGGTCAGGAGGGCCGTGGGGTCAGGAGGGCGGTGAGGTCAGGAGGGAGGTGAGGGCAGGACAGTCGTGGGGTCAGGAGGGCCGGGAGGTCAGGAGGGCGGTGGGGTCAGGAGGGCCGTGGGGTCAGGAGGGCGGTGGGGTCAGGAGGGCGGTGGGGTCAGGAGGGCAGTGGGGTCAGGAGGGCTATGGGGTTAGGAGGGCGGTGGGGTCAGGAGGGCTGTGGGGTCAGGAGGGCGGTGGGGTCGGGAGGGCTGTGGGGTCAGGAGGTCAGGAGGGCGGTGGGGTCGGGAGGGCGGTGAGGTCAGGAGGGCGGTGAGGTCAGGAGGGCGGTGAGGTCAGGAGGGCGGTGAGGGCAGGAGGGCCGTGGGGTCAGGAGGGCGGTGGGGTCAGGAGGGCGGTGAGGGCAGGAGGGCGGTGAGGTCAGGACAGTCGTGGGGTCAGGAGGGCCGTGGGGTCAGGAGGGCGGTGAGGTCAGGAGGGCCGTGGGGTCAGGAGGGCCGTGGGGTCAGGAGGGAGGTGAGGGCAGGACAGTCGTGGGGTCAGGAGGGCCGGGAGGTCAGGAGGGCGGTGGGGTCAGGAGGGCCGTGGGGTCAGGAGGGCCGTTGGGTCAGGAGGGAGGTGAGGGCAGGACAGTCGTGGGGTCAGGAGGGCCGTGGGGTCAGGAGGGCGGTGAGGTCAGGAGGGCGGTGAGGTCAGGAGGGCCGTGGGGTCAGGAGGGCGGTGGGGTCAGGAGGGCCGTGGGGTCAGGAGGGCGGTGGGGTCAGGAGGGCGGTGAGGGCAGGAGGGCGGTGAGGTCAGGACAGTCGTGGGGTCAGGAGGGCCGTGGGGTCAGGAGGGCGGTGAGGTCAGGAGGGCGGTGAGGTCAGGAGGGTGATGAGGGCAGGAGGGCCATGGGGTCAGGGGGGCCGTGGGGTCAGGAGGGAGGTGAGGGCAGGACAGTCGTGGGGTCAGGAGGGCCGTGGGGTCAGGAGGGCTGTAAGGTCAGGAGGGCGGTGAGGTCAGGAGGGCGGTGAGGTCAGGAGGGCCGTGGGGTCAGGAGGGCGGTGGGGTCAGGAGGGCAGTGGGGTCAGGAGGGCTGTGGGGTCAGGAGGTCAGGAGGGCGGTGGGGTCAGGAGGGCCGTGGGATCAGGAGGGCTGTGGGGTCAGGAGGGCGGTGAGGGCAGGAGGGCGGTGGGGTCAGGAGGGCCGTGGGGTCAGGAGGGCGGTGAGGTCAGGAGGGCGGTGAGGTCAGGAGGGCGGTGAGGGCAGGAGGGCCATGGGGTCAGGAGGGCGGTGGGGTCAGGAGGGCGGTGGGGTCAGGAGGGCCGTGGGGTCAGGAGGGAGGTGAGGGCAGGACAGTCGTGGGGTCAGGAGGGCCGGGAGGTCAGGAGGGCGGTGGGGTCAGGAGGGCCGTGGGGTCAGGAGGGCGGTGGGGTCAGGAGGGCGGTGAGGGCAGGAGGGCGGTGAGGTCAGGACAGTCGTGGGGTCAGGAGGGCCGTGGGGTCAGGAGGGCGGTGAGGTCAGGAGGGCCGTGGGGTCAGGAGGGCGGTGGGGTCAGGAGGGCCGTGGGGTCAGGAGGGCTGTAAGGTCAGGAGGGAGGTGGGGTCAGGAGGGCCGTGGGGTCAGGAGGGCGGTGAGGTCAGGAGGGCGGTGAGGTCAGGAGGGTGATGAGGGCAGGAGGGCCATGGGGTCAGGAGGGCCGTGGGGTCAGGGGGGCCGTGGGGTCAGGAGGGAGGTGAGGGCAGGACAGTCGTGGGGTCAGGAGGGCCGGGAGGTCAGGAGGGCGGTGGGGTCAGGAGGGCCGTGGGATCAGGAGGGCGGTGAGGTCAGGAGGGCCGTGGGGTCAGGAGGGCTGTGGGGTCAGGAGGGCGGTGGGGTCGGGAGGGCGGTGGGGTCGGGAGGGCCGTGGGGTCAGGAGGGCGGTGAGGGCAGGAGGGCGGTGAGGTCAGGAGGGCGGTGAGGTCAGGAGGGCGGTGAGGGCAGGAGGGCCATGGGGTCAGGAGGGCGGTGGGGTCAGGAGGGCCGTGGGGTCAGGAGGGTCGTGGGGTCAGGAGGGAGGTGAGGGCAGGACAGTCGTGGGGTCAGGAGGGCGGTGAGGTCAGGAGGGCCGTGGGGTCAGGAGGGCGGTGGGGTCAGGAGGGCGGTGAGGGCAGGAGGGCGGTGAGGTCAGGACAGTCGTGGGGTCAGGAGGGCCGTGGGGTCAGGAGGGCGGTGAGGTCAGGAGGGCGGTGAGGTCAGGAGGGTGATGAGGGCAGGAGGGCCATGGGGTCAGGGGGGCCGTGGGGTCAGGAGGGCGGTGAGGTCAGGAGGGCGGTGAGGTCAGGAGGGCCGTGGGGTCATGAGGGCTATGGGGTCAGGAGGGCGGTGGGGTCAGGAGGGCGGTGGGGTCGGGAGGGCAGTGGGGTCAGGAGGGCGGTGGGGTCAGGAGGGCAGTGGGGTCAGGAGGGCGGTGGGGTCAGGAGGGCGGTGAGGGCAGGAGGGCGGTGAGGTCAGGACAGTCGTGGGGTCAGGAGGGCCGTGGGGTCAGGAGGGCTGTAAGGTCAGGTGGGAGGTGGGGTCAGGAGGGCGGTGAGGTCAGGAGGGCCATGGGGTCAGGAGGGCGGTGGGGTCAGGAGGGCCGTGGGGTCAGGAGGGCGGTGGGGTCAGGAGGGCGGTGGGGTCAGGAGGGCCGTGGGGTCAGGAGGACAGTGGGGTCAGGAGGGCGGTGGGGTCAGGAGGGCCGTGGGGTCAGGAGGGCGGTGGTGTCAGGAGGGCCGTGGGGTCAGGAGGGCCGTGGGGTCAGGAGGGCGGTGAGGGCAGGAGGGCCGTGGGGTCAGGAGGGCGGTGAGGGCAGGAGGGCGGTGAGGGCAGGAGGGCGGTGAGGTCAGGACAGTCGTGGGGTCAGGAGGGCCGTGGGGTCAGGAGGGCGGTGGGGTCAGGAGGGCCGTGGGGTCAGGAGGTCAGGAGGGCCGTGGGGTCAGGAGGGCGGTGGGGTCAGGAGGGCGGTGAGGGCAGGAGGGCGGTGAGGTCAGGACAGTCGTGGGGTCAGGAGGGCCGTGGGGTCAGGAGGGCGGTGAGGTCAGGAGGGCCGTGGGGTCAGGAGGGCGGTGGGGTCAGGAGGGCCGTGGGGTCAGGAGGGCTGTAAGGTCAGGAGGGAGGTGGGGTCAGGAGGGCCGTGGGATCAGGAGGGCGGTGAGGTCAGGAGGGCGGTGAGGTCAGGAGGGCCATGGGGTCAGGAGGGCGGTGGGGTCAGGAGGGCCGTGGGGTCAGGAGGGCGGTGGGGTCAGGAGGGCGGTGGGGTCAGGAGGGCCGTGGGGTCAGGAGGGCCGTGGGGTCAGGAAGGCGGTGGGGTCAGGAGGTCAGGAGGAAAGTGGGGTCAGGAGGGCCATGGGGTCAGGAGGGCGGTGGGGTCAGGAGGGCGGTGGGGTCAGGAGGGCAGTGGGGTCAGGAGGGCCGTGGGGTCAGGAGGGCGGTGGGGTCAGGAGGGCCGTGGGGTCAGGACGGCCGTGAGAGCTTGAACAAGGGCGCCTGCAGTCCCCGCTCCCGCCGCCGGCCCTGGCTGGGGTGCGGCTGCTCACTGCCCGGCCTCCCTGGGGCTGGAGGCAGGGAGGTGCTCAGGCGCCGGCCCTGGGCCTGAGCCCCGGTGACGCCGCTGTCCCCCAGGATTCAGTGTCCAGTCCTCGTGGCTCTCGTGGCCAACCTCCTGGGAGCCGCCCTCAGCGCCACCTGCATCCCCGCCAGCACCAAGGGGGCCCAGGCCCAGGCTGCCCCGCCCGGTGAGTCCCCAGCCATGTCCCCCGAAGTGCCGAGGGCGGCAGCCCCGGCTCCTGGCCCCGCCACACCCCCCCTCAGAGCCCGGCGGGCACAGGCGGGGCGACCAGGCCCCGGGCCGGGCAGCAGGCGGGTGTGGGGGTGCGGCCTCGGGCAGAGCCCCCACGTTCAGGCCCGGGGGGGAGACTGGGGGGCCTGACGGCTCCTCTCGTGGCCCAGGTGTCCCCGCAGCCCGGGTGTTCGACCTGAGGGCCATCTCCCGCCTGCTGCTGCGGCCGGGCGTGCTGCCCGTGTTCCTGGTCAAGGTGGTCTCCGGCTTCCCCTCCGGTGAGTCCCGGCTGCCAGCAGGCAGGGCTGGCACAGCCAGGCATGAAGGCCCTCCCTCTGGCCCAGGTCCCTCAGCCCCGCTCCCGCCCCGGCCCCCAGGCCCCGAGTCCCACCCCGGCCCCCAGGCCTGGCCCCCCCCCCCCGGCCCCCAGGCCCGACCCCCTCCCCGGCCCCCAGGCCCCGCTCCCACCCCGGCCCCCAGGCCCGGCTCCGTCTGCCCGCTTTGGTGTGCCCCCTGTGGGAGGCCAGCCCCCAGCCCCTTCCTGCTCATCGCACAGCCCTGGGGGGCGGGGTCCCGTGCCTGGGACCAGGCCACACTGAGGCAGCGCCTGGTCCCGCAGGCACCACCCGCTCCCGCCCCCCCGATACGGTCCTGTGGGTGAGCCTGCTAGCCCGCCCCTGATCCCTGCCCCCTGCCCCCTGCCCTGGCCCCACCCCCCAGGGCTCTTCATGGTCATGTTCTCCATCATCTGCATGGACTTCTTCCGGCTGGACGCCGCCCAGGCCGGCTACCTCATGTCCGCCTTCGGGGTCCTCCTGATGGTGAGTGAGGCCGGGCGCCGGGGGGGGCCTCAGCCTCCGGGCAGCTCGGGCCTGTGCTGCTGCCTCCTCACCTGCTTCCCCCCCCCCGCTCCCCACCCCCGGCTCACCAATCTCGGACTCACTGCCCCCCGCGGGCTCCTGTCCACAGAGTCCTCTGAGTGCCCAGGCGGGCGGTGTGGGCGTGGGAAGGAGGGCCGGGCTCCATATAAGACACCGAGGGGGGTGGGGGGTCTGCAGGGCCAAGTGGGGCCGCAGGGGGGCCCCGGAGGCGGACGAGGTCCGCCCCCCAGGCTCCAGGAGCCCGTGAGCTGTGGGAGAGGTGGCGTGGAGCGCGGTGAGGCTCTCCAGCCCACACGCCGGCCCGGCCCGGCCCTCTGGTGGAGCAGCCAGCCGGGCACGAGGGTCGGGAGCGGGGTTTCCAGAGGACGCTGATGGTTTGAAAGAGGTTTTATTGGCCTCGGGGAGGGAGGGGGAGAAATGTCCATGAGGAGAGAATCACTGATCGGCTGCCTCCTGTCTGCCCCCTCTGGGGACTGAGCCCACAACCCGGGCCTGTGCCCCAACCGGGAACCGAACCCTGACCTCCTGGCTCATAGTCGGCAGCCCTGACCCTCCTCCTGTCCACCTCCCCCCCAGGTCATCCAGGGCCTGGTCATCGGCCGGCTGAGCAGCCGCTTCTCGGAGGCCGCCCTGGTCCGGGCCAGCGTGCTGGTGCTCAGCCTGGTGGGCCTGGCCATGGTGAGCGTCCAGCTGCACCGGGGGGCGGGTCCAGGCCTGTTCCCTGACCCTCCCTCCCACCTCCTCTCACCCCGTCCCACCCCCTCGCACCCCCTCCTACACCCTCCCATCCCGTCCCACCCCCTCCCACCCCCCCTACACCCTCCCAGGATCCCGCTATGGGACCTGGGGCGGAGCCTCCTGCCAAACCCCCCGCCCGCCCGTGCCAGGCGCTGATGTCCACCGTGTTCCACTTCTGCCTCCTGATGCCCGGCCTGGTCTTCGGCCTGTGCCTGCTCAACGTGGTGACGGACAGCATGCTGACCAAGGCCGTCTCTGCCTCGGACACCGGTGAGCACAGCGGCCGCCGGCGAGGGGGCCCGGCCTGGCCCACCCTCGGGAGCCTGCTTGGCTCCGGGGACAGCCATCCGGGTTCGGGGCAGGGTGGGTGAGAGGCTGGCCACCAGCCGGCGGCTCCTGACCCTCAGACCAGTCCAGGCCGACCTGCGGTGGGAGCAGGGCTCCCTGGAGGTGGCTTCGGCTTGGCCTTGTGGGAAAGGAGGGAGGGGCGTCTGGCCCAGTGAGCAGAGATGTGGGGGTGGGGGCGGGAGAGGCTCCAGTCAGGGAGGCAGCCCGGTGGGCGGGGCGCGGGGAGGGCGGAGGCCGAGGGGGCCAGGCCCTGCCCCCTCCCCAGCGCGGTGCCCAGGTGCCCGTGTGAGTGCCAGCTGGTTAGACCGGGCAGCCTCGGCTCACAGGGCCAGGCTCCCGCCCCCACCCGCTCCAGGCAGAGTCCGGGGGCCCCGTGGCTGTCTGAGGTGACGGGGTCCCCAGCAGCGGGGCAGAAAGCTCGGGGGGCCTGGCTGACGCTCGGTCCGTGCGGCTGTCTGTCAGTCAGGGAGGTGCTGGCGGAGCCTGCGGTCCTGGGGTCCCGGGAGGCCGGGGGGGCCTGGAGGGCTTCCCGGAGGGGGCGGCCGGCACGTGGGAGGCGGGAGGAGCAGCCGGGGACGGGCCTGAGAGGTGAGGGCCTCAGAGCTGGAGGCCCCACCCTCGGCGTGGAAGAGCCGGTGCCGGTTCCCAGCACCAGCCTGGGAACCCCAGGCCACAGCGGGGGCGGAAAATTGCTCCGTGGCCGCCGGGTGGGGCGCGTGGGCGGCGGGCGGGAGAGGCTGCTCCGCGGTTTCCCTCCGGCCCTGAGCCCGGCGCAGCTCCCAGGCGGCTCCCCGACCAGCCAGGCTCCCACCAGCCCGGGCGCTGACCTCCCACTGGGGACAGGAGCCGCCACGTGCTGCCCACAGCAGGGAAGCCGGGAGGAGGGGTCAGATGCGGGGGTGTCCGCCGTAAGCCCCCAAAGCCCTCCGGGCCCTGTGGGGGGGCGTGAGAGGACCCTGGGAAGTTGTGGGGGGCTGTGTGGGACCCTGGGAAGTTGTGGGACCCTGGGAAGTTGTGGGGGGCTGTGTGGGACCCTGGGAAGTTATGGGGGGCGTGAGAGGACCCTGGGAAGTTGTGGGGGGCTGTGTGGGGACCTGGGAAGTTGAGGGGGCTGTGTGGGACCCTGGGAAGTTGTGGGGGCTGTGTGGGACCCTGGGAAGTTGTGGGGGGCTGTGTGGGGACCCTGGGAAGTTGTGGGGGGCTGTGTGGGGACCTGGGAAGTTGTGGGGGGCTGTGTGGGACCTTGGGAAGTTGTGGGGGGCTGTGTGGGGACCTGGGAAGTTGTGGGGGGCTGTGTGGGACCTTGGGAAGCTATGGGGGGCTGTGTGGGACCCTGAGATGGTGACCACCTTGCTCCCCAGGCCCTGCCCCCGCCTGGCCGCTCACCTTTACCGCCAGGCTCACCCTCACCCCGTTTCTGTGGCTGCGCACATCGCCATCTCCCTGGCGGCCTGCAGGGGGGGCACCCCGTGACTGGGCCCAGGCCACCCCCTGTGCATGGGAACTGCCCAGGGCAGCCGGTCCGGGTCCCGCGGGCCCTTCACGGCTGAGTGATCGCAGGGAGCAGGCCCACAGGCCGTGCGGGGAGGGTGGGGAGACAGGAAGTGAGCGGGGTGGCGCTGAGGGACCCCAGGCCTGACCCCAGTCCCCCACAGGGACCATGCTGGGCCTCTGTGCTGCCGTGCAGCCGCTGACCCGCACGCTGGGGCCCACGCTGGGCGGCCTGCTGTACCGCGGCTTCGGCGTCCCCGCCTTCGGCCACGTGCAGCTCGCCGTCAACCTGCTCGTCCTCCTGGCCCTCTGCAGGCAGCCCACGCCCCGGAAGGCGGACAAAGTGCAGTGACCGTGGCCCCGGGCACGCGGGCAATAAACCAGCTCCGGCACGGCTTCCGCCTGGTCTCTGCGTCTGGCTGGGCAGGGCCTGGCGGGGGGACGGGAAGCTGGAGGCTTCGTGGAGGAGGGGGTGCTGAGCCCAGGAGGGGGCAGAATCACCCAGAGCTTGTCCCGGTTTGCGTGGGGGTGGGGGGGGCTGGCCCCTGAAGTCCAGCCCCACCTCCCGTGAGAAGTGCCCCCCAGAGAGGGGGAGCCTGCTGCCCCCCTTCCCTCCTCCTGCCCCAGCTGGGAGCATGCGGCCCCCACGCAGCCCCTCAGGGACCCCACGCCCCATGAATTCTCCAAGTTGTCCCTGCTCCTGAGACGTGTTTGTGTTTACGACCAGGAATCCCGGGCTCGGGAAGGGCCTGGGCACAGGGCCTCCCTCCGTGGGGGGCCCAGCGGGGAGCCCGGGCAGCCAGGCCTGAGGCCTGAGGCCTGGGTGCACCATCTTCCCCTGCTCCCCCCACCCTGCCTTCCGGAGAGGGGCCGGGCAGGGAGACCAGGGGCTGCTGTGACCGACAACAACCTTGACGGGCGCCCGCTGCCCCCGAGGCCAACCCTCCCCCCAGGCTGCCTTCAAAGCCATTAAACCCGATTCCAGCCCCAACCAGACAAGTCCGGCTGCTCATTCGTCCCCACGATGGGGGGGGTCCCTCTGGAGCCCCGGGGCCATGCGGCTGGCCCGCCCTACCCGCCCCCCCTTTGCCCGGGACTTCATCCCTCGTGTTCCAGAACGTGCCTGGCCGGAGGCGGCTTCCTCCCTGGGCCCAGCACCCGGGGGGGGGGGGGGCAGTGGGTGACTCGGCCCATTTGTCAGATTCCTCAGGTGCCCCTCCCCTGCCCATCACTGGCCCCGGGCCCCTCGGAGGCCTCAGCTCGGCCACATCATCCCCCACTGCCCGCTCTGCCAGCCTCCGTGGCGGCCAGACCACCCGGAGCGTGTGGCCAGACGGGTGGGGTCCGAGGGCAGAGCAGGTGGCCTGTGGGCGTGAGGGCAGCTGGCCGCAGTGGCGGGTACATGACCTCCCGGAGCAAAAGCTGCCGCCGCCCCGTCCTGCCCAGCCCTGCCCGGCCCGGCCCGCCCCAGCGGAAGTCAGCCCGGGCCGAACCCGGCGCACTTCCTGCCTCTGGAGCGGCTGCGGGCGAGGACGTGCCACCGGCCCATTCATTCAGCCCTGCCCTGCCCTGCCCTGCCTGGCCCGGCGGGCCGCACCCCGTGACTCGGCCGGGCGCCCCCATTCCCAGGAAGGCACAGCGCCCGCGGGTAGAAAAGCGAACCCACCAAGTGGTTTATTGGAATGGCACTGGTTTAAAAAACAGAATATTAAGACAAAAGACCTGGCTTAACGACAAGCAGCCGCCAGAATAAATACATAGATAGTCAATAACTTAGGGCAGCCGCGCGGGCGGCGGGCAGGGAGGTCCCTCCGGGGCAGCCCCGCCGGCCCCTCCTTCAGTCCTCGCCGCGGCGGAGCGGGGCTTCGGCGTCTCCTGCCGGCTCGTCCGTCCGGCGGGGTCCTGCGGGGAGAGGGGTCAGGGCTGCGCCAGAGCCGGGGCGGGTCCGGCCGGGTCCCCCTGCGGCTCCCCGAGGCCGGCGGCGGCCCCGCACGCCCCGCTCCAAAGGGAACCTCGACGGCGCGGGCCCCGGCGTCGCGTCCGGCGCACTCACGGCGGCTCAGGACGCGCGGGCGGCGCGGGGCTCGGGGGCGGCGGGGCCCGGGGCCGGGGCCGGGGCGCGGGGCGCCGGGGCGCGCTCCTGCAGGGCGCGGCGGTTCTGGAAGTCGATGAGCGCCAGCGCGATGGCCGCGCTCCAGCAGCTCTCGCCCGGGCAGCGGAAGTCGATCTCCTTGCGGTCGGTGGTGACGAGGGTGAAGTAGACGTGCTTGCCGGTGCGCTCCACGCAGTCCACCTTGAGCAGCGAGTGGAAGCGCAGCTCCTTGGGCCGCGCGCCCCGGCCGGCGGGGAAGAGGCGCAGCCGGTCGGCCGTGAGCTCGCCGCGCTTCCGCTTCCAGAGCTGCAGCAGGCTGCCGCTGCGCTTCTCCAGCTCGCCCTCGCGCAGCACCTCGCGCAGCACCTCGCCGGGCGCCCGGGGGGCCGCGGGGCCGGGGGGCCGGGGGGCCGCGGGGCCGGGGATCCTCATGGCGGCGGGCGGGGTCCGGGGGTCCGGGGGCCGAGCGCCGAGCAGCGGGGCGGGCGGCGGAGGCGAAAGCAGTGGGGCCGGGCCGCCCGGGCGCGCGGTCTTTACAGCGGCCACGCCCCCGCCCGCTCAGGGCCCGCCCCTTGACACGCCCCCGCCCCCGGGGGCTCCGCCACTCAGGGCCTCGCCCGCAGGCCACGCCCCCGCCCGCTCAGGCTCCGCCACTCAGGGCCTCGCCCGCAGGCCACGCCCCCGCCCGCTCAGGCCCCGCCCAGCGGCGCCCCGCCGCTCCGCCCCCAAGCCCTGCCGCCCTCCCGCCCGGGGTCACCCTTCCTTCTTGTCTGCAAACCGCCAGGCGCCCCTCCGACCCCGGCCCCGGCCCCCGGGGGCCAGGCGGTCCCCACCCCCGGGACCGGCCCGCGGAGGAGGGTCCGCCCCGCCCGCGGTGACTCAGCGCCCGGGGCCGGGAAGCACCGCAGCCGGGCCGACCCGGGGCGCCCCGATCCCCGCCCTCCAGGCGCCGACACCCGCCCCGGCCGCAGGGGCCCCTCCCGGGGAGACCCCCTGGCTCCGCCCCCCCGGTCCCCGGCCCCCGGGGGACAGGCGCTCTGAGCCGGGGTCGGGCTGCGGAGCGGACAGGGACACCGGGAAGGGCTCCCGCAGCCCCGCGCGGTGCCAGCGGACGTGGGGGAAGGCGCAGCCTCCTGTCCCGGCGGGGCGGCCTCTCCCCGGACCCCGAGCCGGAGGGGCGGGGGGGGGGGGTACCGCTCCGCTGGGGCCGCACGTGCGGCGGGGAGGCCGGTCGCCGGGCGGAGGCCGCGGGGGCGCCCGGGCGGGGGCCAGTCAAGGGGATTTCTGGGCGCACAGCCGCCGGGCCCCACCTTCCCACACCCACGGAAGCGGTGACCCGGCGGGAGTGGCAGGAGCGGGAGTGGCACCTCCATCTGCGGGACGGGTCCCACTGAAACACAGGTGCCGGCGCCACAGAATTAGGCATTTCCGGCCGGACAGCCCGGCCCGGGGCAGGAGCGGCCGGACTGGACCAGCCTCTCCTCCCCTCCCCGGCTCTGGCTGTGCCTCTCGGCTGCCCCAGACCCTGGAGGGATGTGGGGGCTGTCTGTGCCCACGGCAGCTAGTGGTGCTCACTGTGTGGCTAGAGGGCTGACTGGGGTGCGGGTGAGTCCCCCGCTAAAGGCTCCACCAGCCTGCGGACCCCCCAGCACCCGATCACCCCAACACCCCGGCCCTGGTCAGCGCAGCCCGTGCCGAGCTGAGCGGGTCTCGGGCTGCTGGGCAGACCTGGTCCTCGGGACCGTGGGACACCAGGCCAGACCAGGGGTGCTGCTGTCACCGTCCCTAGGGAGCCACTGTCTGGCCCCCACCCCTACCCCCGTGCCTGCCGCTCTGCAGGGACCCTCTGAGGTCCACCAGCGTGCCAGCCTGCCTCGCCCCCCCAGGGCCAGCTGGAACCTGAGCTCTGGGCAGACCGGATGCTCAGCTGAAGGTCCTACTACTGTGCCTGCAGGCCGTGGGGGTGGGGCCTGGAGGAGCTGTCCCCAGCAGTCGGGAGCAGGGCCGTGAAGGTCAGTGGAGTCTGTGTGCACGCGCCCAGCCTCTGTGCACCCCCCAGAGACCGCCCCGCGGGGGCACGCTCCCTACTTGGTGGCGTGGGAAGAAGCCCCAGGGAATGGGGAGACCAGGAACCAGAGGCGGGGCTTGGGGTGGGAGGGAGGCTGGGAGAGTGGAGCCAGGTCTCTCCCTCCTCAGCCTGGGCCTGGCCCTCTGGCAGGGGTGGTGGTAGCTGGGGGTTGTGCTGACAAGTGGGCGTCAGCAGGAGCTGGGAGGACAGGCCATGGGGTGGGGAGCCCACTGCTCTTCTCCTCAGAGGCTCCTGGGCAGGGTCCCCGGGGAGAGGACCCTGAGGGAGCCGGTGGGCATCGGCCAGGCCCCCCCAGGCAGCCTCATTCCCAGCAGCCCCGCCCAGGCCTGAGACCTGGGGGGTGGGGAGAGAGGAAGCGGGTTTGACCACCGTGTCTGAGCTGTGTCTGAAGCGGCTCTGTCTCAGAGCAGCTCGGGCCAAGCTGACCCTGGAGCGAGGGCAGGGCCCTGTCTCCGCCCACTTCCTGGGAGACAGAGGCAAAGTGCTGGTCCAACACCGTGGGGGTGGGGGCTCTCCCTGGACAGCCAGGAGCCTAGAGGACCACCAGGATAGCTGCCCAGTGGGGACTGCCCCTTCCTACCCCGCCCCCCCAGGGAGCAGCCGCCCAGGGATCTAGGCCCCAACAGACCCCTGACCCCCCTCTCCACCACGGCCGCTGTGGGGCTTGTTTTCCTGGGAACAAGAGGAGGGCCTGAGAGACTGGTCCGAGGTCACACAGCCGGCCAGCACGAGTCCAATCCGTCCACCGAACCCCAGGGCCAGGCAGGGAACGGCGCTGCAGCTGGCTCTGGGGTGGGGGCGTTCCGGGTGCACTGGGCTCCGCCGCCTCAGTGGGTATGGTCCGCGGGGACCTTCCCCAGGCAGTGAAACTGGCCCTCAAACCCCTGGCGGTCCAGCTGGGAGGCGTCAGGTGGCCGTGAAGAAGGAAGACGCCTCTTCGAAACTCCGTGTGAGGTCACTTCCACACAGTGACGCAGCCAAGCCCGAGGCTGCGTGCGTCAGCGGCTGTGCCTGGGGTTGGGCACCTCCCCTTCCTGTGTGGAGGGCAGGAGGGAGAGCAGACCGTCTGCCATGGGGGTTCCCTGCCTGGAAGACCCTCTCCTCTGGCCTCCCTTGTGGAGCCCTCCTAAATTGCCAGGGAAAACTCTCAGACCTGCTCCCACCCACCGTCAGGAGAGGAGGGGAGGCAGGGAGAACGGGGAGGCAGGGACAGGAGCCGGGGAGAGAGGCCCACACTGCCTGGCACTGCAGCACCCAAGAGGCGGCTGGCTACGGCCCACTGGGCCCAGCCTGCGGTCCAGGCCTGCCCTCTGCTGGAAGGTGCAGCCGGGAAGGAGGCCCAGGCTCAGCCGGGCCTCCTCAAAGCCGTGTCCCTTGTTGCTCTCTCCCCCAGCCCCGCCGCTGGAGTCTGAGGGCAGGCCACCTCACCAGGCCCTGGGGGTCCAACGAAAGCGATGCTCTCGGAACTGCCGCTCCCCCTGCCTGCTGGAGGGCAGTCAGCTCCAGAGACGCAGTGGCCACGTCCTGTTCTTTGGGGCCCCCAGGTGCTCAGAAAACATTTTTGGGGAAAAGGGGGAACTCAAGTGTCCACCTCGCTGCCTCCAAGACCTCACTCTGGTCAGAGCCAGGGAAGCAGGGAGACCCAGCCCTCCTGTCCTCCGAGAGGGCGCACTGTGTGCTGAGGCAGCCCTCTGTCTGAGCACGAGGGGCTTCCCCGGCGGGTCCCCGGCTCCTGGGGGAAGGGGTGGTTCCACAGGAGGTCCCCGGCACCTGGGAGCCCTGGGAGTGGAGGGTGCCCGGGCTCTGCCTGCCTCTCCGGCCTGGAGGAGGTCCTGAGCCTCACTCCCACAAGCCCCAGCCCCAGGCCGGGCTGGCGGGCTCAGGGCCAGGCCTGTTAGGTTGCCATGGAAAGTAACATCCGGCCGCGCCCACAGCAGTCAGCATGGCCAGGCGGGGCCAGTGACTGGCAGTGGTGACACCTGGGGCGGGTGGAGCCCTGTCTGGGGCACCAAGGTGACTCAGCCTGGGGGGAGGGGTGCCGGGGAGCTGTCGTGGGACCTGGGAAAGGCTGGAGGGGTCCAAGGCTGACAAGGTGCCTGGAGACCCTCACCAGCTCTGGCATGAGCTTGGTGGGGGGTCAGGGGGTGCAGTCCTGCTGTTGGGGACCACTGCGTCTCTTCGTGGGGGGCCAGATGCTCCCCTGCCCCCCAAGACGTGCCCTGAGGTCGAGAGTGAGTCTGCTTCCCGAGGAAGGAGGCTGGGAAGTCACTGACAGGAAGGGACCGAAGTCCAGGTGCAGCCACACTGGGAGACGGGGCGGCCAGCTGGCAGGGAGCCGAGGACAGCCCACATGGGCGATGCCGGCAGGACTCCACGCCCACAGCCCTGGTCCACCAGGGGCTCTGCAGCAGGGGGACCGGGAGGGAGGACGGCCACCCCGTATTCCCCACCACAGGCGCGCGGGAAGGAGACAGGACCCAGGTTCTGAATGGAGGGGCCTCCTCAGGGCAGGGCAGAGGTCAGCCACACTGACACCCGCACAGGCCTGGCTGAAGCCGAGGGCCCAGCCCCTCCCTCCCGCCCACCTCCCTGGTGGGCGAGGCCAAGGAGCCCTGGGCTGAGGGGATGGAGGGGCCAGGCTGGCCCACCAGACAGCAGCCAACAGGAGCCGCAGGGGTGGGCAGAGGCTGCTGCCAAGCTGCAGGTGACCACAACTCCTGACCCCTGGAGAGGAAAGCCAGTGTTTTAAGTGGAATCTGCCCAAAGTGGGGCTTTTGAAAAAGGCTCCAATGAGGTGTGATTCACACCCAGAAGCGGCGTGTATCCACCTGTGTAACCACTCCCTCCTGAACAGGCCCCGCCCCAGCAGGTGCTCAGCAGGTCCCAGAACCCCGTCCCTCAGGTAATGCTTTCCTGTGTCGTGGGGGTCCCGATGCTGGGGCCCCTCTGTTGTGGGTACACAGCATTGCTAGCACCCCACCTTTAACTGCTGGCCCCAGGGGGAAGCAGCTAGCCCCTCCCAGCAGGATGCCAGGAGAGCAGAAAGGGCAGCAGGACCCAGGCCAGTCTGTGACTGGCAACACCCCGGCCCCGAGGACCGCAGGGATGGGAGCTGGCCTTGGACACCCTCCCGTCACCAGAAAGCTCTGATGTCTGGGCCCAGAGTGGTGGCTGGGCTGGAGGCTGTCCAGGGACCATTGGGGACAGAGGCACAGCAGCACCAGATGGGCGAATAGGGTCCTGAGGCTGGAGGCTGCAGCTCCCAGGCCCAGTGGGCCCGGCTAGGCCAGGCAGGTGGTCACCCGGAAGTGCTTCAAGTGTCACCTTCCCTGTTGGGACTCCGGGCAAGCCTCCCGAGTGTCCGTGACTGGCCAGCTCGTGCCAAGGCCCAGAGCAACTTCCACAGCGCGGCGTCCTGGAGGCCTGTGACGGGAGTGGAGTGGCCTCTCCTGGGGCAGGGCCAAGCCCTTGGCCACCGGAGACTGTCCAGGAGGGGGAGCCGTGGGAGGGCAGAGGACAGTGTCGTGATGGCCCTGGTGCAGGCGAGGCCGAGCCCGTGGGCGGCCGGGGAGAGCTCCGCCTCTGGGCTTGGCACTGGAAGCCCGTCCCTGTCCTATCCGGTGCAGGACCAGCCTGGCAGCAGCTGCACCCGTCCTCGCCCCCACAGTGCCCGGCTCACACGGAGGACGCAGAGCGGCCAGCACCTGCTTGTCCTGCCACCTGACCCCGGCAGCCCACTGCCTCCAGCTTCCTGTTTACCTGTGGCTTCCCCACGGAATCCCTGTGCACACCCGCCTCACAGTGTGCACACGAGGCCCCACCCCTCCCCTCTGCACTCCATCACACCCGGAGACCGTCCCTCTCGTCCCCGGGCACCCATTTGGGTAGGAGCCGGCCTGACCGGTCTCCTGGCCATTTCATTCCGGCGTGTGCCCCTGGAGCGGTGTGTGCCACCCGCAGCGCCCTCGCCCACAGCACACGAGGGCGGGGGCTCCGTCACGGGGAACTCAGCAGCTGGCAGCCTCCTGCTCTCAGCCCGTCATGCTGAGCTGCCCCAGTCCTTGTGACCACTCCGTTTCCGCTCCCCTGGGAGGCCCCGCGTCCGGGCGGTGCGGCGCTCTATGGCACGTGAGCCCACCCGTGATTGGGGCAGCGGAGACGGCTCCCCCTGGAGCCCGGTTTCCCTGCAGATGGCCTGGGACAGCGCTCTGTGCAGCCGCTCTGACCCCAATGACCTGTGCGCCAGGTGCTCAGCCAGCTCCCTTCGAGCGCCCAGGCTGTGGGCAGCGCAGGCTACTCTGCAGCCCGCCCTTGGGGGCGACATCCTCAGGCTGGGGTTCCCGGGGGAGCCCGCCCTCTCCTGCAGGGCGAGGAGCCAGCAAAGGGCGCCCCATGGCCTGGAGACCAGCAGGCAAGAACATGAGCCTGAGGAACAGGAGGAAACCAGACACTGAGGTTCGGACTCGGCCACACATCAGGGTACGACCACCCCGCCCCATCCCCTTTCCCCTTACCTCCTTACCCCACAGAGAGACACACGCGGGCCCAGGTTTCACCACTTTAATAGATACTCTAACTGTCTGTACAAATTGAAAACAGCATCTTCAGTTACAAATGTATCTAAGTAATAAGGCTGAGCACTCTCCAGGCCTGTCCGTGTGGGCCTCGAGTCGCCGGCTGCAGGGACCAGGAAACGAGGTCACACGCTCGGAGCCCCACACGCCAGCCGAGAGCAGGTCGCTCTGAACCCAGGGCTTTAAGACACGATGGACGTGGGGCTGAGAAACGGGCTTCGGAGACTCGACACGCACACACGAGGACCCTGTGCCCGCCCAGCCCTCCCACAGAAGACGGCGCACTGCTGGCCAAGGAGCCCGCGTCCGGGAGACGGGCTGGCCCAGCTGCCGTGCGGAGGGCGGGCTTCCTCCCCCAGGCCTCCTCCCAGCCCTCCCCAGTCTGCATCGCAAACATGGTCTCAGAAACCTGAAGACAAGCGCCAGCACCACCCGAGGCTCACAGCACGAGGAACAAATAAATATGGGGACGCACCAACAAGCCAACGCCTCCGCACTGTGGGCGCTGGACCCACCCCACCCGGAAAGGAACCGGAGGAGGAGCCGGCAGCATGATGGCTCTCCGGCCCCGAGGCCAGACAGGACCCGGGGCCGGACAGGCGTGCGGTGTCTTCCAACGAGATGGGAGCAGAAGCTCCCGGACTTCTATCCTGGGCTCGGGGCCTTCCCACCCCACGGGGTCTATGGGGCCCCCCAAAGGTGGGCCTGGGGAAGTCTACTGCGCTGCACCCAAGGCGCGGAGGGTGCGGGATTAGATTCAACCTCCTACTTCTGAAACGCGTGTAAGTGGCCGCTGTACAGGTTAAGCAAAATAATAAGGAAAGAGGAAAAGGAAGCGAAAACCATGCACGTGGAGAAGGCCGGTGTGGGCGTGCCGACAGGTCCTGCTCACTGCTGCTTGCACTCCGAGGGCTGGCTGGGCTCCTTCTGTCAACGAGAGACAAGACTTGTGGGACGGTCCACGGCCCCCACCATTTCCCACCAACACCACGAGTGCAACACACTGTGTCTGAAAAAGTGGTTACTGCTAGCGGACTTGTAAGAGTAACAAGCCCAGCTGGGGTGGCTCAGGGGGTGAGCATTGACCTGTGAACCAGGAGGTCACCAGATTGAATCCAGATCAGGGCACAGGTCCGGGTTGCGGGCTCGATCCCCAGAGTGGGGTGTGCAAGAGGCAGCCGATCCAAGATTCTCTCTCATCAGCGATGTTTCTATCTCTTCCTCTCCCTTCCTCTCTGAAGTCAAAACATATATATTTTATAAAGTAGCAAACATAAGCCAACTGCCCAGAGAAATGTCACAGCAGAGCTGCCTCTTCTGTTCCAAGAGGCCTGAGACCCTCTCGTTCTGGGCACGGCAGCAGAAGGCCCGGGCAGGTGACGGGAGACCCCGCTGGCAAGCTGGAAGCAGCTGGGAGCTCTGGGTGCCCAGGCACTGCCCAGTGAGTCCTGACGGGCTCCTACCCCGCCCCACGCCCAGGAGGGCTGCCTCTCCCTTCCGTGATGGTGAATGCCACAAAGCCACAGCTCCAAGATCCACAGACAAACTGCACCCCCAGGAGCCCCGGGGGGTGCTAGCCTTTCAGATAAGCTAGAGGGGGTCCCCACCCCAGAATCACTTCAATGTGACGTGTCTGTCATGTGCATCCCTGCCACTGAAACCGCATGCGCCCGTGAACGTGGTGGGGCACAGAGCAGGCTCCCTTCCGTCCGAGCTAAGATTGCCAATCTCCCTGCACCCACCGGCCGCCTATGAACTCAGCACCAGGGCTGAGAAGAAGCACCTGGGACCACACCACCCACACCCTCAGGTGGGAGCTGGGCTCCAGCTGGCCTTTGGAATCCCATTTAAGGGCTGAGAAAGGCATACAGACAAGCAGCAGCCTCGGACCCTGGTCCACGCTCCCGATGAGCACACGTAATGGAAAAAGCACAGGACACGCCAGGACCCACAGGCTGGCCCTGCGTCTGCCTAGCCCTGCCCAGGGCGGGGGCAGCCTCTCTGGGCTGGGGGCCCACCCTGTCACATGCTCACCCGAAACACCAAAACCACAAGCCTGACCAGCGGTCCTGGCTGAGAGCTCGGCACCCAGCAGCGTCCTTGCAGGGGGGCTGCGGGCCGGGCCCCGCGCTGAGGCCAAGCAGAGTGCTCAGGGAGGGGACGCGGCGGACTGTATCACGCAGGGAGCACGAACTGCCCGCTGGTCCACAGGCAGCCCCAGCGTGGCTGTGGAGACGGGGGGAGAGTATGCACCCACACCAAGGCCAGCAGGGCCGTGGACACAGGACAACACAGCTGCAGGCCGAGCCTCCTGCTTCATGCCAGTGTGACGGCAGCGTGGCCACTCCACGCCGATCATCAAGGGAGAGGAGCTGGCGTTCCAAAGGCACAAACTTACAGTCAAAAACCTGGCGAATCCCGGGACCAAAGATGGGTTTGGGTGGCTGACAAGTGCCCGAGCAGGAGGCAGAGACGCCCGCACCGCTGGGCATGGGGCGCTGTGGTCACACCGCTCCTCTGCTCAGAGGCCCAGGCTGCACAGCTCGTGACGCTCAGAAGAGCTGGTGGAGGGGAGTGAGCTTCGGGCACAACCTGGCAGACAAGCTCCTCAGACATGTGGGCGCAGTCACGCCAACACGCAGGTAGGTGATCAGCCTTGCCCTAGCTAGCGCCCAGACCTACCTTCAGCCCGGTCTGTGCCCCACGAGCGAGAAAGGGCAGTGCAACAGACCCTCTAAGGCGCCGACCCGAACTCACACCAGCACCTGCGCCTCCTACAGGGAGCCCCGGTACGTCCTGTCTGAGCTGCCTCTGGCCATAGACCCGACTTCCCAGAAGGCCCCTGCTGCCTTCGTGCCTGCCTCCGGCCCCAACACCCTCCCCGCTGCGCCCCAGCCCTGGCAGCAGTGAGTGTCCCAGGCGAGCCCAGAGGGAGCAGGGTGACGATGGCCCACATGGGCAGTGGCCCTGGCTTGCTGCTGCTCCTGCTCCTGCTGCTGAAACCAACAGTTGACCTGGCATTGAGTCAGAACTGCAGTGACCGCAACACACGTGCTAATGCCACCCCACACGGGCAGTCGCTTTCCAGATAAGAAACGCACAAGCTCAGCCACCTCACTACCACTGGCTGCACACGGACAGATGCACGTCCAGGAACATCGCGGGGTGGCACGGGCACAGGGCACAGGACGGGGAAGTGTGCCACCTCCAGGAGGACCGATGGCCTCTGGCTCTGTGCCCTGCAGACTGCCCATCTCCCAGGGGCCCCCCTCTGTCCTCTTCCTGGAGGGCAGTCCTGTCATTGAGAAAAACGCCACACCAGTTGCTCCTTGGCTGCGTGGTCAGCAAGAAACCCTGGGCTCAGCAAGCAGGAGCCACGCATGGTTGTGGCCAGCTGGTTCGCTGGGCACACACAGAGCCCCCCACAAGGCGGCTGGTCAGGAGGCCGTGTCCGCCTGGCGCGTGCACCCGCACAGGAGCCTGCTCTGCCCCAGTCACAACAGGCATTGTCATAAAGCACAGATCAACAATTTGGAAGTTAGGAATGAATGGAATTCCACCTTACCTAGAAATGCATGATTAACAGACAAAAATTACACCTAAACGGGGAGAAAAATTGAAAGGCACGGTCAGCATGAGGAAAACGAAGGCACACCATCTTACAGGAGGGAGCAGCCCCGTCTCAGGTACCAAAGGGCTGCAGCTACGCCGAGAGCAGAGCCTCCACACACACTGTGCTGGCTCCTGCTGCTGCCCTCCTTTGCGCACACACTCTGGCAAGTGCCTCTACAGAGGTGCCCTCTGACGGGGACGGGGGACGGGGACAGAGGGCTCACAAGGACAAGCCTGAGTCTGACTGCACGGCTGAGAGTTCCAGCACTCACAGCACCACCCGCTCCCAACAGACACCTCGAGACGTCATGGCTGAGTGCCACAACCCTCTACCTCTGCCAGGTCATGTGACCGCGTGGTGACAGTGCCCCCAGGACACAGGACGTGGGAACAGGAGGACAGACACCAGAGGAAACAACAGGAGCCAAGCGCCCGCTGCCAGTGAGACGGGCAGAGAATACATCTGGGGCTCGGTGCGGCAGTGTCAGGGTCACCACCACCCAGTTTTGTTAACTCACAGACACCCCGCAACTCCTGACCCCAAGGGTGATGCGCTCACAGCTGGCCCCAGGTCTGCGCGCCTCTCCGCTATGGCTCAGAGGCAAGCACAGGGATGTATGGAACAGCTGCCGCGATGGACAGGCCAACCCGACACAATGCTCGTTTCGGGGAGCACATTTACACCGACCCCCCTCGTCCCCACAGGCACTCCGCAGTGAGCATGCGTTCACAGGGACACACGGTGCACAGACAGTGACAGACGGGCTCTGCACACACAGCCGCGGGCACACTGCACCGGGGAAGACGGGGACACGCACACGGGGAACCAGAAGGGTGCACTGCCCAGGCCAGGTGTCGGGAGGGACGACTGCAGAGGCTCCTGCGCAGACCAGAGCGAGTCCCAGGAAAGCCGCCCTGCAGTCAGCACTAGTCAAGTGGCAAAGCACCTGAGTTTGAGCCAATCAAGAGCAGGAGCACAGCTCCGGACTTACAATAAGTTAACGGGGCTGTCCACTCATTTTGTCACTTTTGAAAAAACTTCCTGGTTTACTTTAAATTATGAGAAATCTAGCCATAGCTTTTCAGCATTCTCACCCAAGTACAGTTGTAGGTTAGTTACACTTACGTTTCCGTTACGCTACTTAAAAATAACACCCTGCCCCCCACGAAGTGCCATCTTCCCACCTCTCCAAAAGCAAGCACCTGAGTGCCTGTGCGTCAGTGATAGCGTCCCCGGACCGGACCAGAGGGGCACAGCCTGAGGAGCTGGGGGGCAGGCGGTGGACACCCGCCCGCGTTCTAACCGGAGGGAAGTGGGGCCACGCAGGGCTCCTCCCCAGTGTGGGCGCGGGCGTGCTCAGCACACAGCGCACGGGTCTGGGCAGCCCCAGAGCAACTCACCTTGAGGCTGGCGTCAGCATCGTCTTCTTCCTCCGCCTCCTCGTCTCCTTCCAGCTCCTGCACGGAGGATGGACAGGCATCACACTTCTGCCCGAAGGAAAGCAACCGCTCCCACACGGACTGACCCCTCTGGACTATTCCGTTCCCGGTCCCTCTGCTGCTTAGCCCTGAAGCCACCCTCGCGCTGCTTCTGTGGACTGAACCACCACTTCCTAAGCAGCATTTCACAGCCAAACACAGGGTCACCGGGACACTGCGAGGGCATCTGCCATCCTTCTGCCGTTCTCACCAGGGCCCACGTCTGACGTGCCACACCAAGGGATGTAACCAGGGCCTGGGGCTCACACGCTGTCCCCCCGCCCGGGGCACTGAGCTGCCACATACAAGCTGGCCTTACCTCCTCTTCTCCTTCCTCACCTTCTTCAAACTGAAAAAGAGGGGAACACACGTTTAGGTTTTGAGACAGTGCCCTGTCCAGCCCTCCCCCCCGCCCAGTCCCGGTCAGGCCTGAGGAAGGCAAGCCATCCTGCTCGGACGGAGCACAAGGCAGCATGACCAGACCAAGTGCTGAGAGGCCACCTGCTGCTGGGCAGCCTTGGGCACCAGCGCCACAGCTGGCTAGGGCCAGGCTGCAGGAATGCTTGCTCACAAGCCCTGCCCATCAATGGGATGCTGGTCGAGAGGACGAATAAGGGGTGAAGAAAGGAGACTGCCAGCTGGGGGCTGGCCCAACCAGGACACTCATTTGTCTCCGACAGGCTCAGGGGTGAGCACCCTTTCATGGGCTGCCTTTGGGATCCACAGAGGACTCTCGAACCCGTCTCACACTTGGCAGAGCTGGTCCTATGTGGGGCACACAGGCCCAGGATGAGCCCAGAACTCCCACCTCCACTTCTGCGTGTGACCAGCACTTCCTAAATCCTAAGTCTCAGCAAGCACTTGTGGTGGCGAAGCACAGGCCGAGCTGTGCACACGTGCCCAAGCCCACCACCCCCTCCAGCCTGGACCACACAGCCAGCGGGGCCTTCAGCCCAGGAGTGGGGGGAGCTGGCCTCGCAAGCAAGGAAACCTGAGGCACCAGGAGCTGCCAGCGCTCTAAAAGCAAGGGATCAACATCACCGGAAACGCCCGGAGCAACATGCTACACAACGGAACTTGGTGCCCAGCCCATGTGTCTCAATGGGTTGAGTGTCGACCTATGAACCAGGGGGTCAGGGTTTGACCCTGATCAGGGCATATGCCCTCGTTGTGGCTCAACCCCAGCATGGGGCGGGCAGGAGGCAGCCAATCAATGATTCTCACCATTGGCGTTTCTCTCTCCCCCCTCCCCTTCCTCTCTGAAGTCAATGATACATATGTATACATACTGAATAGAACTTCATGGCCAATAATCAGGACCCATGGCAACCTGGGCTCTGGAGGTGCCGCCTCAGGTGCGGACCCGGGACTGGTAGGCCTGGGAGGCTGGCTTGGGGCCACCCCCCTCTGGCTGGGGAGGCTCGCCTGCGTGAGCGACCTTTCTGCGAGAGCGGGCCGGCACCCGTCCCAGAGCCACCGGCCGGCACGAGTCGGCTCTGCTGCTGCTGACTGCGTGTGCGGTCAGACCTCCGTGGGTGAGGGTCCCTCCTGTTTGGCAGCCACCCAAAGCTTACAGGGACCGCCCGGACGCCTGCCTCCCACCCGCGGTGACCTCTCCTCTCCCTTCGTCCCCCCAACACCACCGGCAGCGCCCACATCCTGGGCCGGGCTCCACAGACACATACATTGTCGTCATCCTCTATGGCCTCCCCTGTGAAGTACAGCACGGCCCTCGGCACTATCCGCTCACGGAAGAAGTGTCCAATCTCAAAGTCAGAGGCTAGCGTGAACTCGGAATCTTCATCCTGAGAGGGAAGCTGCACAGTCACTCCCTTCAGTGGGACTGGCCCACATTCCCATGTCGTCGTCCCCCCACCCCCCTCCGGTGATAGCGCCCGAGGTTCAGCTGCTTTAAAGGCACAGAGTGCAATGCAGGAGGCAGAAGAGCAGCCATATGGGCAACACGGGCTGTGTCCCAGGGCAGTGGACACAAATCCCGCCCACCCCCCCGCCCAACCCCGGTTCAGGAAAGAGGAACAGATCGCAAAGCAAGTAGGTATCTAGTTAGGAAACAGATCTATCAGCCAAGTAAGAGCCCTCAATAACGTCACAAATCTTACCAGCGATTCTCCGTCCCCGGACGCTAGAAAAAAACAGAACACACCGTTACACCGAGCACCAGAGCCGCCCAGCAGAGCGCCTCCAGCTCAGCTTTAACCTGTGCCTCCTGGTGGGCGCCCACAGCACCCATGCCCGCTCCCCCGCACCCTGGTGGGCACCCAGCTGCAGGAGGCCAACCCTCGGAGGCCCTGACGGCTGTTTAAACGTGAGCAGGTGAAGGCATGCCAAGCGGCGCGGACTGTGGCCACGGAGCACTGTGCCGAGGGGCTGTGACTTCTGTCCTGCAGAGCCTCAGGGACCGTGCGGCAGCGGAGGCAGGAGTGAGCATGCTACCCCCTTGCTGTGGGGGAGAAACTGTCCTCTGGGCCGGGGCACTATCCCTGCCCACCCAGAGCACCTCAGCTCCACACGAACCATGACGCTGAGTCAGTTTCACACACGACACAGATTGTGCTGGCCTGAGGGTGACGGCAGACCAGGAATCAGACCCGCCCTCAGTGAGGCCAGTGACATCCAATCGATCAAGGGATTGGAATCCCTAATCTCAGTGGTGCTGGTCCGAGGCCCTCCCTGAACTGCGGGCCTCATTCCTGCCTGTCCATCCTCCGGAGTCTCCGCCTCTCCCAGGCTGTTTAAGATTCAGGGTTGGGGGCCCTGGGCTGAGGGTTAGGGATCAGGACACGGACCTCCCCAACTTGACTTCTGGACCTGTTTTGTATGCTTAAGGACAGAGGCTGCTGGACTGGCCATTTTGTTTCTTTCGTTTCAAAAATCACCCATCCATTCTGATGTCTTTCTGGCTACCCCTCCCTGCCCCACTCGCACCGTTTTCATGGAGCTCATCACAGGTAGGGATGTTCGTGTGATTGCTGTGAATACAGCAACATGGAGCCATGACACACATTCCACAGAGCTGGCCCCATGAGGAGTGCAGTCAGCGCTGCCTGTAGGCTTGGTGCTGTGCTGCCACCAGTCCTCGGGACCACCCACAAAGGACCAATCCCCCCGCCCACTAGTCTCCTTAGTCCATTTGACCTCACCAAGTATTTTAAAGAAACTCCCCAAAATCAAAGCGCATCTGTGTCCTGACTCCACGCAGGCTCTGAGAAACCTCCCACACAGGGACACTAAGGGGCCACGTTTATGGCTGTTCTCACCCCCCAGCCTGCACACTGGCACCTTCTGGGCCCCAAGACAAGCCACAGAAAACATCCCCAATGATGAGGAGACAGGACAGCGTGGGGAGCGGGAGTGGAAGGGGCACTGGGCTCACAGACAAGGTCAAAAGTAAAGGCTCAGCCAAAACCGGTGTGGCTCACTGGATAGAGCGTCCAGCCTGCAGAATGAAGGGTCCCGGGTTCGATTCCGGTCCAGGGCATGTACCTTGGTTGTGGGCATATCCCCAGTAGGGGGTAAGAGGCAGCTGATCGATGACTCTCTCATCGATGTTTCTAACTATCTCTCTCCCTTCTTCTCTGTAAAAAATCAATAAATTAAAAAAAAAAAAAAAAAAAAAAAAAAAAAAAAAAAGGCTCAGCCTGAGGAGCTGCGTGGGCACTGCGTGTCCTGCGACAGAGCTGGCAGCTCATGGCCAGCTGGTTTGCAGGGGGAAGGCGAAGGGCAATGGGTGTCTGCGCGTGACCACAGCGGCTGCCCCACCTTCACGTCCTCTCAGGGTCCGGAAACGACACTCAGATGTCCAGTAACTGCCTCTCAGAGCCAGAGCTTGCCTTCCCGCTTGGACCACCTTTATTTTACCACTCGGGGCAACCACGCAGAACGGAAGCTTCCAAGCTCTGCTTCGGGCCCAAGTTCTCCCGATGGTGACCCAGACACCGAGCGCCACGACAGACACATTTCCACACGCCGGCCCCCCGCGGCCCGGGTGAGGCAGAGGCGGGCAGCTGCGCCAGTGACCGCAGTGCGCAGTGGCCGGTGCCACAGAGTTGAGCTGGAGCAGCCTGGGACAGAGGGAGGCGTGGAGGGCCCTTCGGGCACTCGGAGCTTTCTGCAATGGAGCTTGGGGTGCTGTCTCGGCCTCCCTTCCTGCTGCCCCCGCACCCTGTGAGAACAAGTGCCTGTGGCCCAGCACCGTCCATTCCCTTAGCAGCCCAGCTCGCCGGGGGACCAGAACTGGACTCTGAGGCTTCGAGCTCTTACAGAGGCACAGGTCCCGCTATCCAAAGCAGAGGGTTCCTATGACATGTTCTTAAGTGGCCAGCGGAAAGCCAAGCAGCAATTATCGTTCATTTAGGTGGAAACGTCTTCAGTGTTCTCAGAACCAAAAACTAACCTCCAATCACACTAAATCGCACCCAAAGCCTAAAGCAACCCCGGCACGTGGTGAACACAGAATGCCGTGATATACACGCTCTGCACGCCTGCCAACCCTAGCGCATTTCACCCACGGGTCCCCACTTGGCTGCTGGCACCAGCCCTGGCAGCTTTCAAGGCCTCCTCGGCCTGCACGATGTGGATGGCGGCTGCAGGCAGGATCAGCGCACTCACTGTCTTTCTTTTGCTCTCAAGGATGGAAATCCTACCCGACCTCATGAGAGCGCCCCCCTGCGGAGCTCTCAGGCTCTGCTCCCACCTCAGGGTGCGTCCTGCTAACAAACGCGCAGGGTCACAGCAAAGCCCAGGTCCCACCGCCACAGCTGGGGCTGGGGGCGAAGGGGCTGAGCATGGTCCTGGGAGGGGCTCAGGGTAAATGCCCTCTGCTCAAGGTGCCCCATCCCAGCAACAGCTTGTGCAAAAGGAACGCTGTGTGCTATGTCACTTCTCACCTTCTCTTGTAAAAACCAAAACCCTCTCCCATTTCTCGGGTCAGTGAGAGGCGCCGTCCTGCAGGTGTTTTGTAAGAGCCAAGCAGCGGGACAGGGGCTTCTGGAAAGCAGGGCCACCTGCCCATCAGCCTCGTGGCCACCTCACCTTTCAGAGGGCTGAAGAAGTTGAAAAAGGAATCATTGGGGACTTGCTTGGTGATGGTTCTGACGGTGCCTCGACCCTTGTGTTTCTGCTTTTTCTTGATGGTTTTGACAGTGACGTTTTTTCCTTTCTTCCAGTCAATGGTGCACCTGCAGGGGGAAAGACAGCCATCAACACACTCCACAAGAAGAGCCGACATGCGGTAACAGCACAGTACGCTCTACACTGAAGCTGAAGCTTCACAAACCCCCTGCAGGCACGTATCCACACCCAGGAAGCTCACCTGCAGGCAGACCGAAACCGGCAGCCTGCCTCACCCTGACCTCACCCGAACCGGAAGCACTGCCGCACAGCTTCTGCAGCCAAGGGCGCCAGCGCCCTGGCCCTCCGCGGGCTGCAGGCGTGTGCGTGTGAGCCCAGGCTGCAGCATGTTTCCTGCAAAGAACCCCCAGGCACCTCCAGAGCCGCTCACCTGCTGCCCCTGGACAACCCCCCATCCCCATGAAGTCACCACTCAAACCCCAATTTTCAAGGCAACTGAGCGGGACAAGTTGGAGAAGGGAAAGTAGGAAGGGCCGTGCACAACACACAGTTCCTGGTGTGCTGAGGGCGGGCAGGGCACAGTGAGCGTTCTCACCGCTGAATCACCGCGGACCAACAGGGAGCGCCACGCCCACCTCTCCCGAGGGCTGCCCTAGGCCATGGCCCTGTCTCAGCTGCCCTGGCCGTGTGAGCCCAGCCGGGCCCGAGTCTGAATCACCAACAGGGAGCGTTGTGAGGATGAGCACTAGGTTCAGTGAGTCAAGTAACGTCTCAACCGCTAAAAAACAAGCGCCAAAGCACCTCACACGCCTGAGGAGTGACTCAGACCACACGCTCTCCTGGCGACCGGCACCGAGGCCGCCAAGGTGCACATCCCGGAGTCCAAGGACAAGCACGGCGTCCCAATCTGCAGAGCAAGCCACTGGCCACACTGCCCTGCACCCACCACCACCACCACCACCACCACCACCACCACCACCACCACCGGGCTGACGGCCACGCCTCACTGTGGGGCCTGGGGAACCGATCCCCTCACGAAAACGAGGGAGCCGGACCACTGCCCCAAAGCCTTCACTTGCAACCACGTGATCCATCCCTCAGCGCCGCCATCACACCCGCAAACAGAAAACGACTTCCTCGTGGTCTCCTGGGCTTTGGGCAAGTTCAAGACTTCCAGCTTCAGCCGTTCCTCTCTGACAAAGTCCTCTGGCGAACGGCGCTCCTTACCCGTCACAGTCGACTATCTCCGGGCCTTCGAAGGAGAAGGGGTCGGCCTTGTCCGGCTCGGACTTCATCTTGTATGTCTTGGTCAGCACCGAGTTGGTGAAGTAGTCGTTGGGCTCAAAGTGGAACTCTAGCACAAAAGACTGAGACAGAAACACAGAGTGAGCGCCCCTGACATCCAGACACCCAGGACGGACTCGGTAAGCCACAGTGCTTCCCGGACCAGCTCCCTCAGCAGCACACACAGGCAGGAGCCAACAGCATGGCGACGGAACGAGAAAAAAGTCTTTACCGCCAAAAGCAGCGGTACAAGGGGAAGCCAGTGACCGGGCGGGGCGGGGTCTGTGCGGCTCCCCCAGTGGAGGGGGAGTGCTTGGTGGGTGAAGGGTCTGGAGGGCGAAGCTGGGCATCGACAGCCCGCCCTCTCCTCTCCCCCAGGTGCAGGGTACAGGGTGCGGGCAGAGCTCAGCTGTCTGCTCTGCAGTGAAATGCAGGACCCCAAGTGGGGAGGACAGTAAACACAGCACCCCCGGACAAATTCCCTGCAGCCACAGAGCAGCCTGCAAGCTGGGACAGAGCCGCACAGGGAGAACGGACACGGTGTGCAGAGCAGCAGTCATGGCCAGCACGGAGGACACGCACACTCAGGAGCATGGAGCAAATGAAAAGTGAAATAAGACGTAGTCTACTACTGTTCTGGGAAACCAAGAGCACTCAAACAGGTAAATAGCTTCACAAATTTTTTTCTCTCCAAGTTTTGGGTTTACAAATTTCCAGTATGTTTTTTATATGTATCACATACACACACACACACACACACACGCACACACACACTAGAGGTCCGGTGCACAAAATTCATGCACGGGGGGGGGGGGGGGGGGTCCCTCAGGGGATGTCTAACTACCTCTCACAATCCGGAACCGCTAGCACCTAACTGCTCACCTGCCTGCCTGCCTGCCTGATTGTCTACCTGTCCTCTGCCCTGCCAAGTGCCCACAACTGCCTGCCCCCCATGGTCTGGTCACCCCTTACTACCCCCTCTACACTCCCCCCTGCCAACCCTGTTACCCCACAGCCTTCTGTTTAGTCGTTTGGTAGTCCCTCACTAACTCCCCTGCCGGCCTTGTTGCCACAGGCAGCCTCCTACTAGTCGTGATGGCATCCTGGACAATTTGCATATCCTCTATTATTAGACCGATTCCAGAGAGGAAGGGAAAGGGAGAGACAAACAACAAGATGAGCGAGAAATCACCAATCAGTTGCCTCCCGCATGCTCCCAACTGGGGATTGAGCCTGCAACCCAGGCATGTGCCCCGGACTGAATTGAACTCAGGAAACCTCAGTCCACAGGCTGACACTCTATCCACTGAGCAAACTAGCCAGGCCTATACATTTTTAAAAAATATATTTTTATTGATTTCATAGAGAAAGGAAAAGGGAAAGAGATAGAAACATCAATGATGAAGGAATCATGAGTCAGCTGCCTCCTGCTTGCCCCACACGGGATTGAGCCCGCATCCCGACCACCGGGACCCCAACCAGTAACCTCGCTTCCTGGATCAACGCTCAACGGCTGAGCCACATTGGCTGGACTGTAAATAGCTTTCTGAAGGGTGACTGGGCAACATCTAAGTAAGTAATGAAATAGACACCGCCTGTGACCTCATTACTGTCCTGAGGAAGGCCTTCTACTCGAAGAGATGTTGAGTGGACGCAGGAAGCTGTGCATGTCCCCTCACCTCCGCCTGCTGACCAAGGACAAAGAAGCCTGTCTGGTGAGTAAGGAGCGTCTGTGAAGGCCAAAGTCGGGGTTCAGATCGCCAGGGGCAACCCCACTGCTCAGAGCGCTGTGTGGTTTCGGGAAGTTTCTGTGCTTTCCTCACCTTTACAGTGAAAATGACACCCCCTCCCGATTGAAGATTGATCCATGGAAGCAGCACTCAGAACACAAAAGGGGAGTGAGACAGGGTTCTCCGAAGAAGGGTGAAGGGAGAGAGGCCACGACAGCACGAGAGCACAGACGGGGATCAGAGACGGGAGCACCAGTCAGTGCTGGAAGGAATGGCAGAGGGTCTGGCCAGGAGATATCCCCTGACCTTTCAGAGCCGTGGGGGCTGGAGAGGAAGGATGGTCAACAAATACAAGACACTGGTCTAGCGCGTCCAGGCTCAGCAGGACAGGGAGGACGCTGTGGGAACCGGGTCCCTGTCCCCCCCTCCCCCAACATGAAGACGGAGATGGGAGGGACCACTGGGCCATGACCACAACGTGGGCCCGCTGGGCGAACGAGCGTTGTGTGGGATTCGGTCCTTCCTCACCCAGTCTGTCAGGGAGGGTTCTTCCCTTTCCCCTCCCCTCAGGTCCTACCACCCAGTGTCACTTCTCTTCTTCCTGTTTTCTGACTTTCCCTTCCCCGTGGCCTGTTTATCTAGAGTAACCCAAAGGCACTGGGGTGAATTAAAGTGTCTAACGGACCAACAAAAAGGCCCAAGGGTGAGGCCTCCTCCGCCTTCGTGCCCGATCCCACACTTGTTACTGGTGATCTCTCCCCAGCAGTAGAGTCGCTGCTGCTGTCTTCGCCACAGTCAGGCCGAGACTAGAAGATTCTCTGTGCTGCTTGGAATTACTCCAAAATAGAGATCAATAAAGATCGCTATTACAAAAAGGGAGTGCAAAGACATATTGCCAGCAGGAGCAGACTGACAGCCTCTGGGCCTCCCTGATGCTCACCTCCACTAACAGCCTGTCAGAAGCTTCAACAAAGATCCGGGTTCCAGGACGCTGACCACGATGCAGCCATTCAGAGCGGGGCGAGGTGGGCATACAGGGAATGCTAAGGAACCATCTACCCTACAGGTGCAGGAAGAACGCCGCCCCGCCCAGCCAAGTGTGTGGTGCGGAAGGAGCAGGACAGCAGTGTCTCATGCCCTCACTTCACGCCCCTGGCTGCCGCGTGGGAGCAGTGGCGGCGGAGAGAAGGGAGGTGGGGGCGCTGGGCCCTCCGTTCTGAAGCTGGGCTTTCTCTTTGGGCTCTAATGTCCTAGGTATTTCAGACACTTGACAGGACGAGGCTGAGGAAGTCGGGCTGGGGCATCTCTCTAGGCGCTGGAGACAGTCTGATTTCCTAAGTTTCCAGAGTGAGCACCAGGACCACGAGGAACACTGGCTCATGGCCTCCCCGCTCGGGATCTCATCCTCGGGGAGCCACATCCGACACATTGTGAGAAAGGAAGGGAACCAATGAAAAAGGAAACGCTGATAAAGTGAATCCAGATGAGTGACAGGCGAGAAAGCAGTGGAAGGAAAAAACTCGCGGAACCTTAGTGCTCATACGGGAAAGAGCATTCACATCTATCAGACCGCCATGGCCACAGGCGGTCCCCGGGGGCGCCCTGGCAAAGCCTCAGCACCGAGAGGAGCCCAGACTGGGAGGGGCTGAGAGGAGGGCCCCGGCTAGCCCAGAGGCTGCAGGAGGAGGAAGGAGTCGCCTGGACACCAGAGTGGCCCTCAGCCTGGAGAGGCATGTGTGGCTCAGGCCCACTCCTTACCTGCAGAGGGAGGGCGATGTCACTCCCGGAGCACAGCAGACAGGGAGGGGAAGGGACATACGTAGGCATGTCTCCCTGTCCGCCTGCAGCCTGGAGAGAATTCCCAGTCACACTGGCCCTGCCCCCTACACGCACTAACACTCGGAAAGGGGGGTTTGTGACAAGTCAGGGCGGGGGATCATATTTTCAGTCTTATCTGCATTTGAGGATATGTTTTTATTGCTTTTTTAGAAAAAGAGCAAAGGGGGGGGAGGGAGAAAGAGAGAGAGAGAGGGAGGAGCATTGATGTGAGATAGGAACATCAACCAGTTGCCTCCCGCACACGCCCTGACTAGGGATCCAACCTCAGCCTGGGTGGTGCCCTAACTGGGCATGGAAACCACTACCTCTTCATGGACGAGGTGGCTCCAGCCCCGGCCCGGCCAGGTCTCTGCAGGTGCTGGTGGAACAGCGCCTGGTAGGTCCCTGTCCAGTGCTGCTCACATTCAACGAGTCTATCCTCACCCTCCTTTCAAACCATTTCAAAGACACGAGATCCTCAAAAACCCAGGAGCCACTCAGGGACAGGATGGCAGAGGCACGAGCTAGTGAGAAGCCACGGCACCTCAGTGGCCACCACGTGGGACGGAGGAATCCAACCCTGCCGGGCTCCTGCACCTGCCTCTCCCGCAGGCGGCCCGGGCCCTCAGGAGGCATCTCGCTCATGTCACACACGTGAGTGACGGGCTGACTTCTTGCCTGGACCCAAGCCCCTACTTTACCTTCCGTGGCCTGACGCCCCGACTCCCCCCAAGAGCTCCATCGGTACTCACCATAGGCTGTCCGGGGTCTGAAAACTTCACTTTAATATCCTGCAGGTGTTTCAAGATTGGCTCATCGTATTCCTACGCACAAAGAGAAGAAGAGACCTGAGCTTTCTGAGGCCACACCCGTCCTTGCCGAGTTGCTGCTGTCCCTTTTGGGTGGTGGACGCGGGGCCCTGGTGGGTCCTCTTCTTGCCAAGGAATGACTCCTGGGAGCCACCCAAGCTGCTGCCTGACAACTGGTCTGAGGGGCAGCGCCTTCAACACTGAGACCAGGGCCTGGCTGCTCACACAGTGCACGGCGCTGGGACTCAGGTGCCATCACCCAGCACTCTGACCCTGAGCACTCTGAAGACAGAATCACAGAATCACCTGGATCAACCAAACTCCCATCCCACCGCCTAGCAGGTGGCACTAAATCTTCCAAACCCACAGCACAGCCACGAGGCGTGTCAGAGGCCTGCAGCTCAGGGCTCACATGAGAGCTTCCAGCACTGGCTGCATGCTTTTACTGAGTGTCACTCAGACGCAGTTCACCAACGTCTTCCTCTGAGAAAGTCCGAGAGAGAACAGAAAAGGAAGACGAGACTCGAAACCCCACAACCACATCCTAACCGGAAGTGCTCCATCTGTGTGACTTCTTGATATTATGAGAAGAAGAGAGAAAAGAGAGGGAGAGAAAGAGAAACATCGATAGGGTGCCTCCCACATGCACTCGGACCAGGGATCAAACCCACCATCTTTGTGCCCAGGTTGATGTGCCAACCACTGAGCCGCACCAGCCAGAGCAAACAGTTATTTCTTTGCCCCTGAAGCCTGGGGACTGAACTGAAAGATCTCTTGAGGTTCCACCAAGTTCTAAGAATCGAGCCTGATAAATATCAAGTTCCCAATATCAAATTCTTTTGACATAGACATAAAATAACAAAACAGCAACAGCCAGGACCATAGCATGTCTAGACAAAAAGTCACGGCAGTACGAGATGTCAGACCTGCCTCCAGAGAACACCCGGCTCAGACTGCACGTCACTGGTGTGCCGTGTCCCGTGCCAAAGGCCAAGGGGAACGTCATCACCAGCATGCTGCCGGCGAGCTGCCCTCATGTGGGACCGTCCACTTCTCCCTCACCCGCAGTGCCCTCTGCCACGTCCCAGCCATGAAATGACACTGTGCCCCTCGGGGCCTCGAGGACAAGAACTCCACGGTGGACCCAGCTGAGCCTGATAACAGCTCCGAACTAGGGCCACAAGCCCAGCCCCGGGCACGGGGGCTGAGCGGGAGTGCTGTCCAGACCCTCTCAATGCTCCTGCAGCTCCCGTCTGCCACCCCCACGCCGAGCACCGAGCACTCATTGCGCCCATCTTCGGGAATTAACGTCTGACCCGAATGGCACCTCCGCCACAAACGCTGTCAGTGCCAACGACCTCTCCCTCTCCCTCCTGTAGAGAAACTCTGGACACGCCAGCTGGTGTTCCCGCAGCTTTCAGACGCGCTGTGGCCGCACACGGAAGAAGGCGGTGGCCCAGAGGTGCTGGGAGAATGAAGGAGACGCCTCTCTGGAGCAGGCCTAAGCTTCCTATGCCCTCAACACCAGGAGCTGCATTGAGGCAGCAGCCACGCCACCCCCGCACCAGGAGCGAGGTTACCAGCCAGTCACCTACTGGCCCCAAAGCCCCATCACGACAAGCCTGCCACACACCCAGCAGCACGGGTACCACCAGTGGCACACCCAGATCCGAGAAACCAGGCCTGCGTGCCGCAGGGATGGCACACCCACCGAGGTCTGAGAGAACCATCCAGTCCTCTGCGTGGGAACTTCCCGCCCCGGAGCACCCCAGAATCTGGGAACTTCTACCGACACCTGGGACTGCCAGTGACGTGGGGACAGGGGCATTGAGGCTGCTACTGAATTTTGTTTTGTTTTTCTTTGCTATTGTTTTAAAAGTTGCCCAGGTGCCCGGATGGCATGGCTCAGTAGTTGAGTGTCAACCTATGAACCAGTGGTCGCAATTCAATTCCCGGGTTGTGATCCATGATTCTCTCTCATCACTGATGTTTCTCTCTCTCCCCCCCTCTCCCTTCCTTTCTGACACCAATGAAACCATTTTTTTTTTTTTTGGGGGGGGGTGCCCAGGTGATTCTAAAAAGCAGCCTGGGTGGTCTGCACAGAGCACAAAATCTTCCCAATGAGTTTCTGGCGCGTGGCATGATCTGGTTTTCCTAAACCCGACCTGAACTTTTGCGTGAAGGGGCTCGGGGAGGAACACAGGCTATATATAGCAGGCAAGTGCTTCAGACGCAGCCTGTCAGCTGGAGAGCAGGAAACGCACCCTCACACCCTTTCCTGAGTCTCTGCCGTGGAAACTGCCCGACGGGCCCGCTTCACGGTTCAAATGCCCACCAACGGAGAAGTGTAACCAGCACATGTTAGCGCGCGCGTGTGTACGTTCACAGCCCTCACTGCCCCTGTCCACATCAGTGAGCTGGAGAAGGGCTGCCCTCGCTGGGTGATCAGGGTCAGTGCACAAGGCTGCAGGTTCCGTCTCTAGCCAGGCACACACAAGGGGCAACCAATGAAGGCAGAAATACGTGAACAAACTGATGTTTCTGCTTCTTTCTTCCTCCCTCCCTCCTCTCTAAAATCAATAAATTAAAAAACAAAACAAAGACAAAAAAAAAGCCATGAACTTTTAAAAAAAGGAAGAACAAGAAATGGAAAGGGGGCTGGAACCTGCCGACAGGCTTTCTGGCTGAGGCCACAGCCCTTCCCAGGAGGCGCGCGGCCGCAGGGCTCCGGCTCAGGCGGCAGGCCTCCGTTCCAGCGGCAGTAGCAGAGAGGTGTGACTGGGTCCCGCACCAGAATAGCCCTCCTGGGAGGGGCCGGAGTGCCTTTCCCCCCACAATGCACCACCGAGGAACCCCGGTGAGCAGCTCACCCCGTTTGAAGACCAACCTTCCGCCGGGAGAAGCGTGCTCACCTGGACCAGCTCGCTCAGCATGTCCACGTTTCTGAAGATGGTGAACCAGAACTCGGGAATCCCTTTGGGGGCTGGCTCCTCCGGCGCCTCGGCGTCTTTCTCCGCGATGACCACTTTGCTTTTCATGTCTCCCTAGGAGCAACGGTGAGGACAGTAGTCACCACAGAGCAGCAACCCGCCAACACTCCACGGCTGACACAGAGGATCCTTCCAGAACCCGCACAGACACTATCGCAAACCCGTGTCCTTTGACCCTGCATGCCACGATGTAAAGGTTTCCGGGACAAAGCATTCAAGGCACTCGGCCCAGACACAATTCCACCAAAGAATTTAAATTGCTGGAAAAAGAGGGGTCAAAGACCACATACTGGAAAGGCCGTGCAGTGCTGGCCCCACAAGGCCCCCACCTGGAATGATCACCCACTACCACACGCAACTCCAGTGGCTTCTGCAACCAGAACTGCCAGCCATTTGTGCACCACGTCCAGGGAGACGGCTCTACCTGCCACCGCAGCCAGAGGCACTGTGCCCACACCAGGTGGTGACCAGAGAGGCCAGTGCCCGTGTAAACACAGGGCCCTGGAGGGAGGGAGACGTGTGCACAGGCCGCGGGAAGGTGCGAGTGCTGTGTCACGGGGACCTGCCGAGGAAACGGCAGAGGCAGGTTTTTCTTGAACAGAAGGACCTGATTCACAAGGACACTGACCTGCAGCCACAGCTACAAGCAGGTCAGGCTCTGCATGTCTTTAGACCCACACACATGGCTACCAAAACTAGCACACGCCTCAAAACGCCCCTGAAAGGGAGCTTTCCAGACAGACGCTCCTTGTCTCCCAAACACAAGGTCAGGCTGACGGTGAACCGATGGCATTGGAACAGGACCGGCAGGCAAAAGGCTGTGAGCACGTGAAGGACGGGCCCGTCATGGAAAGGACCAGTAACCCACTGACCTAACGGGGCCAGTGGTGAGGTGCTCTGGCCAACCTCCTGGCGCTGGTCCTGGAGCAGGATGGCGGGAGTTCCCCATACACCCTCCTCACCACACCCGTTTGCTGTGCCCAGCACCTGTCGCTGAGGCTTGACAACCTCGCTCATTGGCTCCGGGATCTCAGTGCAGACAGTGCAGAGCTATTCAGGTCACTGAGCGGGGTGGGGAGACTGCCTGGGCCACTGCACGGGCTGATGGCGCCGTCAGACGCCAGGCCCGCAGCTGCTCGCTATCCAGCCACGAAGAACCCCAGCGCCTGGCCTTGGGCGGAGCAGCACCCCCTGTGAGAGCTCCTCTCCGCCAGGTCAGACTTGTACCGGGGAGAACGCAGAGGCGCTCACAAGAGCACAACTTACAGCCAGTTTGTCCTCCTCTTCGTTCTCGCTGTGCCACTCCGACTCCGCATCTGTCGGCTCCACGTCACCAGTGACGAACTCCCTTCTCTAAATGAGAGCAAGACCTTCTTAGTTATGTCATGCGGAAAGGCAGGCCCACGAGAAGGCTGAAGCCCGGATGCTCCCTCACTCCTTCTAAGACTCGGCCTGGGACTTAAGAGCAGCTCGGGCCATTTCCTGGGCAGGTCTGAGCCGCGCGGAGCGGGGCGCCCACCTTGTCGAAGAGAGGCTGGTAGAGTGCCGCGTACTTCCTCTCCAGGTCATGGACCTCCTCGTAGAACTTGGCTTCGATGTGAGCGCACTTCACCTGAAGCTGCTTCAATGCGTTGATTCTTCTTTTCACGGCTTTAGGTAAACTAAAGAGAAAGCAGAAAAGAAACTGCCACATGCTTACAAAACCAAAGTGGTATGCTTTTGTTTTATAAAATAAATTTAGGTTAACACAGAATTAACATCCTTGCTATGAAAAAGAGCTAAAACCGTTTACAAAGGCCCGAACGGCGGGGCTCAATGGTTGCGTGTAGACCTATGAACCAGGAGGTCACGGCTCAACTCCTGGTCAGGGAACAGGCCTGGGCTGTGGACTCAATCCCCAGTGGGGGACTTATAGAAGGCAGCCGATCCACGATGCTCTCTCATCATTCCTGTTTCTATCTCTCGCTCCCTCTCCTTCCTCTCTGAAATCAACAGAAATGTATTTTAAGAAGTACACACATCCCAACAGGGGGGAAAAAACAGTGAAGGAAGCTGAGGAAATAATTCACAAAATAAAAATCAAACACAGAAGAAACCTCTTAATTTTTAAGATATTTTCATTGATTTTTAGAGAGAGAGGAAAGGAGAGGAAGAGAAGCATTGATGAGAGCAGAACACTGATCGGCTGCCTCCACCATGTCCCCACCAGGGATTAACCTCACAACCCGGGCATGTGCCCTGACTGGGTATCGAACAAGCAACTTTGGGTGCGGGGACACACCCACCCAACTGAGCCACACCAGCTAGGGCTGTCCAGTCTCATTCAACGTCCAAAAGAACGTCAATGACAAAGCACTGCTGTCCTGCTGCAGTGGCTCACCAAGGACCCTGCGCTGGGTAAGCCATACCCAGGCCACCTGAGCGTGAAGGGTCACCGCCTTGGACGAGTGCGGGAGGCGGGCACAGGAGCAGGGTTTCACAAGAGGACACACAATGCCCCTGCCCGCTTCCCTGCACGAGCTACACGTCTTGAAATCACTTTCTAACTCAAGTCTTCCTCGTGCAGTGAGAACCAAAGGTCCCAAGCACACTGGTCCCTGCTGTGACCTGGCCATCCGGAGGCAGCGACAGGAACAACAGCCTCCCACAACAGGCACTTCACGTGCAGCGTGTCTGCCCACAAACCCTGTCCCCGTTCTAAAGCACTGCCCCCTCGCCTCTCCCACTGCGGCCCCGTGTGCTGCAGCACTGACAGCCTGCAGAGGCTCCCAGCCAGCTGCCGAGGGCCTTCTATCTGGGCAAAGCGGACATAAGCCCCCCCCCCCCCCCCCAAGCCTGCAACACGGGGAGCCGTGCGCCGGAACTCGGAGGGTGGGACGTCCTGCAGAAGGAAGACCACCAGCCGGAAAGAGCTGCCTTCACTGGCGGCTCCACGACACGCCTCTCCTGGAAGAGCCGCTGGTGGTGCTGCAGGCATGGCAGGTGGGTCCGGGGGGAGTGGCTGGCCGCGGACAGCCACCGGGAGAGAAAGCCTTCCGCCCTCACCAGCACCCGGTCCTGCCAACTCCGTCCCTGTGCTGCTGGCTCACAGGCTGCAATCGCCACCAGGATGGGCTATGGGCCCAGTGTCAGAGCGCCCTCCTGCTGCGTGCTTTCTACAGGTCTGAGCCCCTCGGCCTGACCCTGAACCCAAGCCAGCACGCCTCGCTGGAACCAGAGCCTGGCTCAGCAGGCTCTGCCGGATGGAAGCACCATTCCAATCTAAGGACAGGGCAGTCGCTTCCCTCCTCCGTCCCGGAAGTGGACCACGCCTCACGCCCAGGCACTTACGTCTCAATGTAGCTGGAAGGAGTGTGGGAGACGCTGTCGAGCCGCTCCTGCAAGGCTGCCAGCACCTGAGGGTTCTGCATCACCTGGTCGGTGAGCTTCTCTGCACGTTGAAAACAAGGCGGAACAATCACCACACGCCCACCCCGCGCAGCCAAGCCCCATCGCCCACACCGCCTCTGAACCTGCTCACCTACTGAGCAGCTTCTAAACATGGCCCGGGGCTTGGGAAAACAGAATACCTGAGGTGCCCTCCAAAGGCACCGGCTATTGTTAATCACCAGAGCGGGTGATAAAGCCTGAGAGGGCCCTAGAGATTTCGGGTCTCATCATGGCTGCTTAAGCTCCAAATCTCCCAACCGAGGACACCGCCATTTCCCATCACCCTGCCTTCACGCCCCAAGTCCCACGTGGGCGCAGAAGCCAAGGACAGGGGTAAGCCGACGGCTCCTCAGAGTGAGTCAGTGCTCACGTGTGTCCGGCACACAGCCCGGAAAACCCGGCCTCAAGGGTCAGTTCCCTGGTGCGACTTCCCAAGTGCCCTTTGGTCCTCACGGCACCATCCTCCTGCGCACACCCCCTCCTGCACCGCTGTGTCCTGACCAGCTCCTCGCAGAGGCCACGTGGCCCTCACAGGAGGGGAGCGTCACCCTGCTGCACCGTGACCACGGCGTGGGCCACTGCGGTCACGGCACACTCATTTGCTGAGCCGACCCCTCTTCCTGCCGCTGTGCAGCCAGGCAGACTCACGGAGCGCCGCAGCCCTGGTGGGAGCGTGCGTGGGCAAGCAGAGCGCACCAAGCAGGCCCCCAGTTAGCTACACGCAACCACCACAGGAAGCGCTGTGTTTAACATCCGCAACTGTGTGCACACACAACCGTACACTGTGTGCACACACCTCTTCTCTGGCTCTGCCGTGGCAAGGCCTACACACAATGACACCTCTCACCTACACTTAGTTCTCTCTCTCCCCCACTAACAAAGACAGAGCCCCTAGACAACTGACAGAGCCCAAGTCGGGGCAAAGCAAGTTCAAAGGAAAATGGACCGTGGCTTGTGCACAAAGCTACTCAAGAAAAGCAAGCAATGGGCACAGCCCCTGAGGGACCCCTCTTCAGTGGGACAGACCGTGCTCCCAAGAGAGTAGCAATAGCAACTCCAAACACGGACAAGCAAGTAACCCCGTCTCTGCAGTGACGGCACAGTGAGGATTAGAAGCACCTGTGCAGCCCCAGGCCATCACCGATGCAGCGAGGATCACAGTGTGCCGGCACCAGGGGAGCGCCTGGTGGAGCACGGCCCCCGGGCCAGCGCAGTCTTTGACAGAAGGCCCCTCACGACAGAGGCCTGGCAGACCGTCTTAACCGCGTCACCAACGCCAGCACCTGCCACGGCCCAACTGCACTTTCCGCTGCACAAGGTCCCCCACGTGGCAGGCTTGCAAAGCGTTCACCCTGACGCTCAGGAGGGAAGGCAGAGCCGTCCAGAGCACGGACATTCCACAAGACGCCGGGCCCCCTGCCACTGCGCCGAGGGGAAGGGGCTGGGGGCTCTCCAACCAAGGAGACTTCCCACGGGCTAGGCCTGGGGGGAGCAGGGCCGTGAGGAACCTCGGGGCCAGGGGAGGTACAGACACGACCCCACACACCTATAAGCTTCTGGTGGTGCTTTTGAGGATTCCTCTCAGTGTTCAGGGAATTTCCACTGAATTGTTTTAGCGACTCTCTTAGCCAATATAGCCACAACTTGTCTTAAAAAAGTTCAGGGGGCCTTTTGGAACTGGAAGGGGAAAGACTCCGGTGAACTTGTGCGAAAATGGGGATCTGGGATCTGCTTCAGAACAATCGGAGAAGGCACAGATGGATGGAAAGAGCCTGATCACTCATGAGTCACCGCTGACGCCAGGAGGTAGGCGCGTGACCTCTGAGTCTGAACCGCCCGTGACACTTTCAGGCGGCGTCCTGGTTCTCATCTCATCACCAGGTTCTCCCCGGCTGAGGAGCCCTTTGTCAGAGCAGCCGCTCTTCCCGCCGCGGGCGGCGCCGATCCCCGGGCGAAGACCACCCTCCCTCGGGGACTGACCTGTAGCACTGGCATCTTTAGCAGCTTCCGAGGAATCTGAAGGAGCCCCATCTGAAAAGCTAGAGCAACATGTTGCATAAGGAAGGGTTACTGTGGACAAAGTCCCAAAGGTAAGAACAGGGCGTTCTTCACACTCAACACGTTAGAGGTGTCAATAGTGACATCAGATTTGATGGACGAGAACTACAGACACACGTGGTACAAACTTAGCCACCCCATCCTCATCCTGGGCCCCCACATGCCACTCCCAACAGTTCTAATTTCCAACCCTCGTCAAAGCTTCTACATTCTTTCCTCTACCGTTTCTTTCCCCAAATAATCTCCCTGCTCTGAAACCAAACCCACTGCCCAACCAACAAGGACCCTGGGCTGCATGGTTGCTGACCAAGACTAGCCACCTTCCCCACCGGAGGACAGCGCCCCCCGCGGCTCTGTCAGCCGCCACAGGAACCAAAGGCTCTCCTGCAGCTCACCACTAGAATGTTCATTCTGGCTTACCTGTTATCTGCCATCTGAATGTCTTTATCTCCTGCAAGTAAAGGAAGAGTTGTAACAGTTACCACGACTCAGCAATCACAAACAAAACGTTTGTCAAATGCACCCTTTCACTAGCACTGTCCATGGGGATGCCAGCTACTTACTGGGGCGGCAGGGGAGAGGGACTTTCTGGGCGATGAAAAGTCCGAAACCTCGAATGGGGCACCGTCACCCATGTGCACACACTTATCAAAGCTCAGACCCACATCAGGGCATGTACTGTCAGTGTGTGCACACTTGACTCACAAACATTTCTCTTGTTGGTACTAAAATGACCAGCCTTCAAAATAAAAGCAATTCTAATTTGCCTTGTCTCTGTAAGCTCTAGCAACAGGGATATATGTTTATGCTAGGCCAACTACTTTAGAGCAATTCAAAGCATTTACTGGCAAGAACATTGTTGTTGTTTTTTTAAACACACACACACATGCCCTAACCAGTTTGGCTCAGTGAATAGAGCATCATTCACTGAAGGGTCCCAGGTTCGATTCCAGTCAAGGGCATGTACCTTGGTTGCAGGCACATCCCCAGTAGGGGCTGTGCAAGAGGCAGCTGATCGATGATTCTCTCATCGATGTTTCTAACTCTCTATCCCTCTCTCTTCCTCTGTGAAAAGTCAATAAAATAAAATTTAAAAATAATAATAAATTAATTTAATTAATAAATAAAAAATTCCTATGGTTCCCTGTTGGGTGTGCTCAGTGGTTAGAGCCCACACACTTAAGGGCCTCGGGCTTGGTCAATGTGTCTCCCACAATGATGTTTCTCTCTCTCTCTCCCTCCCTATTCTTTCCTTATTTTCGTTCTCTCTGAAAAGCAATGGAAAAAAGCATCCTCAGGTGAGGAATCACAACAATAATTCAGTATGCCAGGTTGAACGTCAATTTATGAAACACAGCCCCGAGCCTCATCAGATTTTCCTACTTCCAAAGGGCAGCCAAGTTAAAGATGAAAGGGATGCAGGCAAAGACGTTCTAAAACTTCGAAGAATGCAGACCGGCATTCGGGCTCCCTCACGAGCCCACGTTCCACGTGTGGACGGGCACGCACGCTGCACGAAGGCACCGGTAAGCCCTGTGCCTCTCGTCCTCTAACTCACGGTCCTACTTTTACCTCAAACAACACACATTTCAAGGGGAAATTTTTTTAAATTTTCGTGGCAAATTATCCATCATTATGCTGAATCCTTAACTCTAAACTGAAATCATCGAGTCTACTGCTAGAGAAATAACATTATTTCCAATAGGGCCACTTGAGAGAGAAAGGTGTGAGCTGGGGAACACAACTGACATGTTTACCACGTTATCGTGTCTTATCACGTCACAGAGCCCGATGTCTCTTCATGAGGTAGGTGAACGATTAGCCCACTGTACACCATTAGCAGACGCAAGCGGCGGGCCTTCCCCACTCCCCATGCGCGTCTATAAAAGTTTTCCCTAAGTGGCAGCCCTGACCAACTTTAAAATCATTTTTTGTGAGAATTTTCAGCTGAAAATATTCAAGAACATTCAAATTGTGAGTAATATATAATATTCATTGCAAGTTGATTTTTAAAATTAAATTTAAAACATCGTGGCGTGTGGGGATGGTCTCCGTTTTGGATGTGTGGCAGTTAACAGGTTCAGATCACCTCCAATGACAGACCAGAATCCCGTTGGCTACAATTCTCATCCTGCTGAGATGGTAGTAAAGTAAGCCGGCAGCACAGCTGCTGGGTTCCCCAAGTGAAGGACGGGGACCCCACCTCCGCACCATGGAGCCCCAGCAGCCCAGGGCCCAGGACCACACAAAGGGACCAAGGAGCCGCCTGTCCTGAGGGGATCACCACGAAGCCTGGCCCACCGGCCGCCGGGGCAGCCCATCTCCTTTACGGTGCTCCAATCAGTAGTCCTTACCCACCCACCGCTGCATTCTTTAGCATTCGAAGGTAACTGTGAGAACCAGTGCGCCAGAGGTAAGTGAAAACAAATGTCAAGAACCAATAACTTACGTTAAGCTCCCAAACCAGTGGCCAATGTTCTCATTAAGCATAACCTTCACTTAGCAATTCTAACAAGAGCCCTAGCCAGGCTCAGTGGATAGAGCGTCAGCCCGAGGACTGAAGGGTCCCAGGTTCCATTCCGGTCAAGGGCAGGTTTGATTTCGGTCAAGTGCACGTTATCTGTTATGGGTTGGATCCAGGATCAAGGCATGTGTGGTAGGCAACCAATTGATCTCTCTCACACAGAAATTTCTGTCTCTCCCCCTCCCTTCCACTCTTTAAAAATCAAAGAAAAAATACCCTCAGGTGAGGATTAACAACAAAAAAGAGGTGTCTAGGACCTAGACATATTCAGACTGAAATTATATTCAAACTGATTCCAACCCTAAGTAATGATTGATAATTTAATTCAACATATACACACCTCCTTCTTTGGGCATCTATCAAAAGATTTCACTTCAAAAAGCACATATAGCCCAGCCGTGGGGCTCAGTTGGTTGAAAGTAATCCCATGCACCTACACATTCAATTCCGGTCAGCAACATGTCAGGCAGGGTTTGGGGTTTGACCCCCAGTAGGGGGCGAACAAGAGGCAGCCAATCAATATTTCTCTCTCACCAACAGAAGTTGCTATGTCTCTCCCTGAAATCAATAAAAACATACTTACCTATATCTATAGATATCTATCTTTATCCTCATCCAAGACCCGGAATCAAACCCAAGACCCTTCGGTGCAAGGGCCGATGCTCTAACCACTGAAGTAAACCAGCCAGGGCAAAAAAAAACAAATTTTAAAAATAATTTTAAAAAGCATATATATTTTTCCAGAGGAACAACTAATTAATTCAATAAGACTGACTACTACTGACTTCACACAGCTGTGCATTAGGTAGAGACCACTGAGTTGGGAATGTCTGAAACCACTTCCTCCGATGTTTTAAGAAGAGAACGGGTCACCGATGGTGCTGTCTTCCCACGGCAAGCAAGCTCCCTGAGGGCAGGGAGTGCCCCCTCGCTCAGCGCAGCAGCCCGTGCCCAGCATGGGCCTCGGCGGAGACAGAGGCCAAGCGTGCCTGCCTCCCTCGCTGCCCGCCCACTGCTCCCGAGTGTCACCTGGAAGAGCGGGGCGCAGGGACCCCGAACACCCAGGCTGCCCCAGCGCGGTTTCTGAAGCCGCACAGGCAGCCGTGTCTGCGCACCACGTCCCGCTGCCACCAGGCACGCGTGGACTGTCTTTTTCAGAAACTTACTAGAGACCGAGCCCGGTCTCCAGGAAGGAAATAAAGAACCAAAACACTGTTTTTACTCAAGGCACGTGGCCTTCCTTGCTATCCTCCGATTTCCTCCTCTGCTCTGTGCTGAGCTCATTAGCACGTGGCTGAGGAAGGCAAACTCGGGAAGTCTTTCTTAACTCAGTACGTAGACCCTGTCGCCCTCTCACCCTATTTAACACCAGGGACCAATCCCCATTCCTTCCCTCTGCCTCCAGAAGCCCCCACACCGCCTGTTGTGGAAACACAAGAAAGAGGGAAGGTCTGCTTGCTCAGCGTGAGGTCCTAGCACCTGGGACCTGCACCCAGAAGGTTCATCACTGACCGGGAAGGGATGGAAGCACTAAGAGCGAACTGGTGATAACCGGGCAAACAGGTGTTCTAAATCAGAACACACCGCACGCTTATTACCTACTACATAAACACAGTGCGAAGATCTTTGTTCCACGAAACTACTACACAGAAACCACACCTTAAAAACAACCTTATTTTTTAATGTTTTCATTGATTTTAGAGAGGGAGAGAAACATCAATGAGGAGAATCATTGGCTGTCTGGCCCATTAGTAAGGATTTCCCCATTACTATGTGCTCATGGACAAATCTCAGGATCGCAGCTTAGGGACAAGCCTGATAAACTAGGAGATAGCATTAGGTGAGCTCCGATGACAGCGATTTCCTACAATGATTCCTCCTCCTTTGGAGATCGCCCTGGTGGCAGGACAGCCAAATTAAGTAGGATCAGCCTTTCACTCTGGACGCCTACATGCATTTCCCTTCAAAAGCAAAAAAGGCCCTGCTGGTTCTGCTCGGTGGCTAGTGTTGTCCTGGGTTTGATTACAGTCAAGGGCACATACCTCAGTTGCAGGATCAAACCCCAGCCCTAGTCAGGTCCCATGAGGAGAGGGGCAACCACCTGATGTGCTCTCTCTCACATCGATGTTTCTCCCCCTCCCTTCCACTCGCTCTAAAAATCAATGGAAAAATATCCTCAGGTGAGGATAAAAACAAGAAACCACACCACAACCAAGCATGCCCTTCCTAGCCAGCAACCTCAGACCTCCTCCGAGTTCCTCACTGCTGCCCAGACACTATTCTCCCCAACAAACCCGACAATGTGGGTCCTCTGGCCACATGGCTTATCAAAACAGCTTTAAAACACGAGAACTTTGAACGAAGAACAGAAAGGGAAAAACTAAGAAATAAGTACTTCTGGATTCCATAAGGCTTTCATACACGCACGTCTGAGGTCCCCCTCTGCTTAGGAGGAGGAAAGGGGGAAAGGCCTCCAGCTAACTGGCCGCAGTGGGGAGCCGCGGGGCAGGAGCTGACCGGCTTGGTCCCGGGAGGTGGCTAGCACCTCCAGGGCCGGGGGACCACCGGCCCCGGCCCAGGCGGAACCTCCAGCACACTCCAGGAGGAGCGGTCACCTAGGCCCATCACAAAGCCACAGAACGGACACGCCTCTGCAGAACTCAGTCCATCGAGGTCATCAAACCAAACACGGTAAAAGTCAACTACCGCAAACCATTGCTGTTCTGTATCTGTTTGTGAAAAACCACAAAACTCACAAAGTGTTAGATCTGTGATGCAGACAGTTCACATCACTCACAGGGCCAGACGAGAAAAAGGTCTGCAAGCGTGTTGGTGCGTGTGTGTGTGCGCGCGCGCGCGCGTGTGTAAGGGGCGTCGGGGACTGTGTGTGTGTGTGTAAGGGGCGTCGGGGACTGTGTGTGTGTGTGTGTGTGTGTGTGTGTGTGTGTAACGGGCGTCGGGGACAGCCTGGTGCTCACTCGGTTATTCACGCTGGACACTTGCAGTGAGCGCTCGCACCATGCCCTGCGAGGAGCCTGGGAGGCTGCCACCCCCCTTGCCCTCACCGCTGCCGCCACTAGACTCCTTATGACCCGGGTTTGCAATTATGTCTCATCCCGGAAAGGCCTTCCTTCCCTCAGGGATCCTCGACGACACCATGTTCCTCGCCCCCAAACAAGCCCGACAGCAGCCCCTGCGGAGGAGAAGGCTCGCTCCCCGGGGTGCTGCCCCCCCCCCCCGGCCTGGGCGAGGGAAGCGGGGGGGCCGCTCCGCCGCGGGACGCGCCCCCCGGCCCCGGCCCCCCGCCTCCTCCGGAGCCCCTGGCGGAGCCCGGCCCCGGCCCCGGCCCCCCGGCGGCTGCCCCGTGACCCGCCGGCGCCGGCGGGGCTCCGTGCGCGAGGGAACCGGAACCCGCAAAACCAACCTCCGTCCGGGCGGCAGCGGGCAGCGGAGCACCCGCCCGGCGAGACCCGGGGGAGGGGGCCGCCGGGCCGCGGGAGGCAGGCGCCCAGGCGAGGGGCCCGCACGTCAGTCCCGCCGCCTCGGGGCCCGGGCTTGGCAGGCTCCGGCCGCGCAGGGACACGCGCGAGGGCGCCGGCGGGAAGGCAGCGCGGGCAGCGGCCGCCCCGCGGCGAGTCTCCCGTAAACACCCGCCCCGCCCACGGGCGTCGGGGCCGCCGGCCCGGCCCGCTCCCCGCGGCGGCAGCGCAGGTTCCGGAAACAAAGGCCGGCGGCCCCGCGCGCCCGGAGCCCGGCCCGCCCGGCCCGCGACGTCAACCCCGCGGGGCCGCCGCCGGGAACAAAGCGCCTCCTGACCTTCAGGCCGCGCCGGGGCGGGCGGAGCGAGGGAACATCCGCCGCCGCCGCCCGGCCTCCCGGCGGCCCGCTCCCCGCCGCCGCTCCGGGCGCCCGGCCCCGCCCCAGCCGCGCGGCCTCCCGAGGGCGGCCGGCCCGTCCCCCGGCCCCGAACCCGGCCCCGCGCCGCCCGGCGCCGTTCCCCCGCCAGGACGCGCGTCCGCACCTCACGCCTCCCGCGGCTGTAGCGGCGGCCGTGGCTTCGCCTGCTCCTGGGATAGCGCCGCCGTGGCCGCCAACAACGCCGCCTCCCATTGGCCGAGCCCACGGGCCCCGCCCTCCACGAGGAAGGCGGGCTACGATTGGGCTGTTCCGGCGCAAGTCAACTACGCCTCGGCGCCGGCGAAGACGACCAATCAGAGGCTGCGTCGCGCGAGACCGGGAGCCGTATGCAAATACTGGGCTCGACGCCGCTCGCGTTCCCTCCGCTCCCGGGGCGCCTCCTCCCCGCGCCCTCCAGGCCGCTCCGCCCGGGATGCGCGCCCTGGCCCCGCCGACCGCCTCCCACCCTGCGGCCGCGTGACTGGCCTCCCCGGAACCCGCGGTCTCCCGGCCCCGGGCCTCGCACGTGGAGTCACACCCCCTACACCACGCTCCCCCCTGCGCCCCCCGCGCCCCCCCGCGCTCCCCCCTGCGCCCCTGCGCCCCCCGCGCCCCCCTGCGCCCCACGCTCTCCCCCCGCTCCCCCCTGCGCCCCACGCTCCCCCCTGCGGCCCCTGCTCCCCCCTGCGCCCCACGCTCCCCCCTGCGCCCCACGCTCTCCCCCTGCCCCCCCGCTCCCCCCCGCTCCCCCCTGCGCCCCCCGCTCACCCCCGCGCCCCCCGCTCACCCCCTGCGCCCCCCGTTCTCCCCCTGCGCCCCCCGTTCTCCCCCTGCGCCCCCCGCTCCCCCCTGCGCCCCCCGTTCTCCCCCTGCGCCCCCCGTTCTCCCCCTGCGCCCCACGCTACCCCCTGCGCCCCCCGCTCCCCCCGCACCCCACGCTCACCCCCTCTCCCCCCTGCGCCCCCCGCGCCCCCCTGCGCCCCACGCTCTCCCCCCGCGCCCCACGCTCCCCCCTGCGCCCCACGCTCTCCCCCTGCCCCCCCCGCTCCCCCCTGCGCCCCCCGCTCTCCCCCTGCCCCCCCCGCTCTCCCCTGTGCCCCACGCTCATCCCCTGCGCCCCCCGCTCACCCCCTGCGTCACACGCTCTCCCCCTGCGCCCCACGCTCCCCCCTGCGCCCCCCATTCTCCCCAGACAGGGTCTTCGTGCCTTTGGTCCTTTCATTCAGAAACTCGTTTCTTCGCGTGGGGCCGCCTGGGGAGTTTCTGCCGAATCCTGTGCCGTGGCGCCTGGGGGCATGAAGCCGGCGGAGCCCCGGGTGACCCCGCATCAGGACCTGTGGGCTGCCGCGCTGTTGGGGGGCTGCCGCCTGGGAAACGCGATAACCTCGCTCCGCTGTCAGCGCGGGTGGAGCGGGGGAGGAGACAGGATAACAGAAAGACAAGGAGCGCTTTCTGGTTCGGCGGGCTTTCCTCCGGTTTAATGAAGTTGGTTTAAGGAAGGCGCACGTTCCCCAGGGACCAGGCCCCCCCCCCCCTCCCCGCGGTGGGGAGGCAGGAAGCTGGTCCTGGAGGGGGGGGGAGGCGGTCTGAGTAGGTTGGGGGGGGGGGAGGCGGTGGTCGTGGGGCCTGCCCGTGGGTCACTGCCATGAGCTGGTGGGAAGGCGAGTGTCGCCGAAGCCTTTCCAGGGGAGAAGGTGCTGGGACGCTGCGTCGATTCCCACGGCCAAGGCCACGGGGTAAGGAAGCACAGGAGATGGGCTCTCGGCTCCAGGCCAGGATAGGAATCCAGGTGTTGGCCGGGAGGCGCCCCCACCGGCCTCTCCCAGCTGCGTGCGGGGCTCCCGGTGCCTCAGGAGGCACACACCCCGGCGGCCTGGCCTCCACTGAGGACATCGGCCAAGACCCTACTCAGTGCCCGCGCTCCGTGTCCGTGAGCACTGCCCAGCCCGCAGCCCCGTGGGGTGTTGGTAGGCGGAGCATCTACATCCGCACAGACGCACCCCTCAGAGCAGCCCAGAGGCAACCCCATGGCCCAGGCTCCCCGCCCTCTCAGGTCGCTGCCTCTAGACCAGTGGTTTTCTGTCTTCCACGGGGGCGTCCGCGTCTCGGGAGCAAGGAAAACCCCACCCTGCTCTGCTCCAGAGGGTGGGCCTCCTGCCATGGTGTCAGCCCGGCCCATCTGACGCCCTGGCCACCGAAGGCGCTCTGTCCCAGTGGGCATCACTGGCACCGGAGACCGGGGTGCTCCCCCAACATGACCTTATCGTCGCCGAGAGCTGGGAGGGGCAGAGAGAATACTGGGGACCAGCCACAGCGATGAGGAACATCCATCCTGCTCTGGGACCGGGGATGGCGCTGCTCCGCTCAGAGGAAGCACCTCTAGCCGGGCTGGGGGCCGAACGCCCTGGGACTGCAGCCCATCCTCCTGCGAGAACTGCCTACCGTCACGGAAAGACTGCCACCTTGTGGCCGAAGTGACCTGGTCCCGGAAGCACCTGCACTTCACTACCCCAGCCCTGTGCCTGCGGTCTGGTCCCGGGGCGCCGGCCCGTGGGCCCCCCAGCCCTGTGCCTGCGGTCTGGTCCCGGGGCGCCAGCCGGTGTGTGACCCCCAGCCCTGTGCCCTGTAACGGCCCCCCCGTGCCACTCGCCCTGCCTGCGATTCCTGCTTCCCACATAATCCTGTCCTTCCGCCCAAACACGCAGCTGGCGTGTGCGTGTGCGTGTGTGTGTGCGTGGGGGGGGGGGGGGGACAGAGATGTCTGTGGGTGACCCGCTGCTCTCCGTGCAGCGGCAGGATCGGAATGAACACTCGTACGATTCGACCCGTCTGCTGCACTGGCTGACGGACTGACAGGCAGCCTGGACCCTCGACTGTCCAGTTAGAGCTGCCCGTGGCCCAGCTTCCAGGCCCGGGGGCTCTGGGCCCCACGCTGAGCCGGCGTTCCCTGCTCACAGCTCCCGTGCCCACATGCGAGGTCAGCAGGTCCTCTCTGCATGCGGGCACTCCTGGCAGCTCAGCCGGCGGGCTCCTGGGTGACCTGCTGAGCAGGCGGCGCGGCAGAGAGTGCGGGCCTCGCGGTGGGAAGACTTTATTTCGGCCGGAGCCACGGGCCCGGCGAGGCCGCCATGAGCATGCGCACAGCGCCGCGGGCACAGCGCCAGCGGCCGGAGCCGGGGCCGGGCCGCAGTCCCCACGGCCGCTGGGCAGAGAGACAGTCACCGCGGGCAGAGGGCAGCGGCCATGGGGACTGCACCCCCCCCCCGCCCGCTCAGGGGGCGCCCCCGCACGGGGCCATCTGCAGGTACTCGGCGTGCAGCTTCTGCTGGGCTTCGAAGAGCTTCCGCAGCTTCTTGGCCTGGCCCTTGCTCAGCTCCTTGCCCTCCGTGTCATGTGTGGGCAGTCCCTGCGGCAGCACCGCGGTCAGCCGGACACCGGGCCCACAGGCTCCGTCCTGCCGGCAGCCCACCCGCCCGCCCGCCCCCGGGGCACCTGCCGACAGCCACGCTCCAGGCCGGGCGCCAGTCCCCGGGATGCAGGGACACACGGGCCGGCGGGAGGCCGAGGGGCCATGAGGGGCCTGGCGGGCAGCACACCTGCCAGCCCGGGGATGGCCCGATTCCCAGGCGGTCCCCTCGGCTCAGCCCCCGCACCCTGGGCCCCAGGCGCCAGAGAACCCCACCTCCCCCCCGGCTGCGCCCCAAACAAGACCCGCTCCCCAGGCGCCGTTCCTGCATCGCTGGCAGGGGACCCTGCTCTGGGGAGAAGTGGTTCTTACGTTTTCATCAAACCTGGAGTACTTGTCGCCTTCGGACAAGAACATCTCGCTGGGCGGGATCTTCATCTTGGCCAGCCTGGCCGCCTGCAACAGACACCACACGGGCCGCTGCACGGAGCCACACGGAGCCACACGGGCCGCCGCACGGAGCCACACGGGCCGCCGCACGGAGCCACACGGGCCGCCGCACGGGCCGCTGCACGGAGCCACACGGGCCGCTGCACGGAGCCACACGGAGCCACACGGGCCGCTGCACGGAGCCACACGGAGCCACACGGGCCGCTGCACGGAGCCACACGGGCCGCTGCACGGAGCCACATGGGCCGCACGGAGCCACACGGGCCGCTGCACGGAGCTGCACGGAGCCACACGGGCCGCTGCACGGAGCCGCACGGGCCGCCGCACGGAGCCACACGGGCCGCCGCACGGAGCCACACGGGCCGCCGCACGGAGCCACACGGGCCGCCGCACGGAGCCACACGGGCTGCCGCACGGAGCCACACGGGCCGCTGCACGGAGCCACACGGGCCGCTGCACGGAGCCACACGGGCCGCCGCACGGAGCCACACGGAGCCACACGGGCCGCTGCACGGAGCCACACGGAGCCACACGGGCCGCTGCACGGAGCCACACGGGCCGCCGCACGGAGCCACACGGGCCGCCGCACGGAGCCACACGGAGCCACACGGGCTGCCGCACGGAGCCGCACGGGCCGCCGCACGGAGCCACACGGGCTGCCGCACGGAGCCACACGGGCCGCTGCACGGAGCCACACGGGCCGCTGCACGGAGCCACACGGGCTGCCGCACGGAGCCACACGGGCTGCCGCACGGAGCCACACGGGCTGCTGCACGGAGCCACACGGGCCGCCGCACGGAGCCACACGGGCCGCCGCACGGAGCCACACGGGCTGCCGCACGGAGCCACACGGGCCGCTGCACGGAGCCACACGGGCCGCCGCACGGAGCCACACGGGCTGCTGCACGGAGCCACACGGGCCGCTGCACGGAGCCGCACGGAGCCACACGGGCCGCCGCACGGAGCCGCACGGGCCGCCGCACGGAGCCACACGGGCCACACGGAGCCACACGGGCTGCTGCACGGAGCCGCACGGAGCCACACGGGCCGCTCCCCGCCCCGCCCCAGCGCCGATGCTGCCGACAGGCGGGGTGAGGGGCAGCGAGGCCGTGGCTTTCTGGGGAGCGTGGGCCGCTCCAGCCCGTGGGGTGCGGGGACCGGGAGGGCCACACGGAGCAGTACCTCTTGTTCTTGCTTCTTCCGGGCGGCCTCCTCCTTCTTCCTCCTCCGCTCCTCCTCCACCTGGGGCACAGGGCACGGTAACCAGGTCTGCCCCCAAGCCCCCCGCTGCCCCGGTGTGGACGGCCTGCCCAGGCATGGAGACGGCCACCGAGAGTAATGGGCTCCGGAGCACCCGGCCTGGCGGGCCGTCGGCCCTCGGGGTGCCCAGCCCTGCTCTGCACCAACACCGTGCCGGCCGGAGGGTCCGGAGGACAGCCGGGGTGGGGGGCGGGGTCCCTCATGGCGACCAGGGGCCCGTGGGGCCTGTGACCCCGAGGGCCCCCTGGCTGTGCAGTTCTGGCACCGCTGTGTTCCAGCCACTCCCTCTGTGGGTCACCAAGGCCCTCCAGGGGCCCAGCCTGGCTCCACCCTGGCCATGGGGGCATGGGTTCTTGGGGGGACGGCTGTGCCCGGTGACAAGGGAGACACCCTCAGGCAGGAGCAGGTGTGGCTGAGCAGGTCGGCTCCCCCATCTCCCAGGACGGCCTCCCGCCCGCAAGGAGCTGTCTGAAGCCCCTCGAAGGACGTCTCTGTTTGTTATTGAGTCGCTGTCACCTAGGCCAGCGTTCCGCTCTGACACGTGTGAGTCCTGGCGTTTAATAAAGTGGAGCCCGGCCGGTGGCTCAGGGCTGAGTGTCCACCTATGAACCAGGAGGTCAGAGTTCGATTCCCAGACGGCACTGCCCGGGTCGCAGGCTCGATCCCCATGGGGGCCGCAGGAGGCAGCCGGTCCGTGATGCTCCCCCATCACCGACGTGCCTGTGGCTCCCTCCCTCTCCCGTCCTCCTGAGAGCAGAACGTGAACCTTTAAAACGTACAAACAGCTAAACCCCCCACGGGCTGGAGCCGCCCACTCACCCTCCGCTTCTCCGCTCGCTCTCTCAGGAGCGTTTCTCTGTCCACCAGCTTGACCACGGTCGGCAGGCCTGCAACCCAAGCGGCCGGAGAGCTGAGGTCTGGTGTCTGTCCGTCCCGCCGCCCCGCACGCCCCACAGCTGCCCGCTCGCCACACCCCCGCCCTGCCCCCGAGGTCCCTGGGGAGAAGCCAGGTTGCTCGCTGCTCGGGACAGAAAACCAGTCACGAAGCACAAGTCCTGTGAACCCGTGAGCCCTCACGCTGTCTGAGCCTCGCAGACAGCACGTGACACGCAGACAGCACGTGACACGCAGACAGCACGTGACACACAGCACGTGACACGCAGACAGCACGTGACATGCAGACAGCACGTGACACACAGACAGCATGTGACATGGGCTGTCCCCTAAGCAACAGCGCAAGAAAGGTGGCCTGGGCCCAGGAGTGGGCGCATGGTGCCTCTGACACGCCCCCACCAGCCCCCTCCGCGTCCTCCCCCCATGTGCTCCCCTCCATGTCTTCTCCCCCAGCGCCCTCCCCCCAGCTCCCTCTCCCACATCCTCCCCCCGCGCCCTCCCCTCCTGTGTCCTCCCCCCGCGCCCTCCCCCACCTCCTCCCCCAGCGCCCGCCGTCCTGGCGAGAGCTCCTCGCAGCGAGCCCCAGGGGCAGCGGGCACCCACCTTCGTGGTCCTCCAGCCGCACCCCAAGTTCGGGCAGGACGTCGTCCCGCAGGGCGTCGCTGAGCTGCAGCACCTCGGGGACTGAGCGGAGGGAGGAGCGAGTCAGGGAGGCCGGGCCCCGGAGGGAGCAGAGCTGCTCGCCCGACAGACGGACCGGCCGGACCCCGGACCCGCAGGGGGCCGCACCCAGGACGGTCCGGGGCCCTGGCTCAGAGGCTGCACGGACAGGCCCGGGAGCCACGCAGGGAACAGCTCCCCGGCAGGCCCACGGGAACTAGATGCTGCCGTGGCAGAGGCGCACCACGCACCGCGGCCCCGCAGCGCCCCTAGCGGCCGCAGTCCTGCGGGGGCCGCTCGCTCACGGGGCTCCTGGCACGGGGGCGGGTGTCGGGACGACCAGGCCCAGGGAGAAGGGCCAGGCGCGCCCCCCGTGACGGACGCCCAGGGAGAAGGGCTGCCTGAGGCCCAGCGTGGCCAGCAGCTCACCGTTCCTCTCGCGGGCGATCCTGCGCACGCTGGCCCGGAACTCCGACAGCGCCTGCAGGTACGGCATGACGGCGCCCTCCAGCTGCGGGGAGGAGATCCTGAGGGCTCGCCCTCTGTCCGGCCTCCGGCCCTCACGGGCCGCACCCCTCCCCCTGCCGCACACGCTCCCTGCTGGCCCTCGAACCCGCGGCAGACGGGGCGGCCACGGAGCGCACGGCCACTGGGCAGGCCTCGCGGGAGGGGCGGTGGGGAACTGTTCCACCTGCCCCACTTCCCAGGCGCAGACACCCGGCTGGCGAGGGGCACGGAGGCCCTGCACCCGGGCCCGGGCCGTGACCCTGCGGGGGCTCGCACGGCTGGGCCCCAGCACGGGCACCGCTCGGGGCCGAGCTGCCTCCCGGCTCCTGACACCGTCCGGGGTTGGAAGTGAGCCGAGAACTTGAAATGGCATGGACTGCGCGGCAGCCCTGGGCCCGGCAGGCTCACCCAGCCGTGTCCTGTGGCCACAGGCATTCTGGGAACCCGCGCCCACGGCCACTGAAGCCCCGCCCCCCCCCGACGGGGCATTTGGCGAAGGTGAGAGGGAGGCTGTCCTCGGAGGCTCTGCAGACGGGCACGCCGGGTCCCGTGCGGGAACGAGCAGCTGGGGCTTTCCGAGAGCCGGCCCCGGCCCGGCGGTGACATCACAGCGGGCCCCGAGGCGGTGACGTCACAGTGGGCTCCGAGGCGGTGACATCACGGCGGGCCCCAAGGCGGTGACATCACAGCGGGCTCCGAGGCGGTGACATCACAGCGGGCTCGGAGGCGGTGACGTCACGGCGGGCTCCGAGGCGGTGACATCACAGTGGGCCCCGAGGCGGTGACGTCACGGCGGGCCCCGAGGCGGTGACGTCACAGTGGGCTCCGAGGCGGTGACGTCACAGCGGGCCCCGAGGCGGTGACATCACAGCGGGCCCCGAGGCGGTGACATCACAGCGGGCTCGGAGGCGGTGACGTCATGGCGGGCTCCGAGGCGGTGACATCACAGCGGGCTCGGAGGCGGCAACGTCACGGCGGTGTGGAGCTGCCTGGGCCGGCTCCCTGTGGCTCCCGCCCCTCCCCGGCTCCTGCCTCCCTCCTCTAGGTCCCGCCCTCAGGCCTGAGGCCTAAACATCTCCACCTGTTCTAACAGAGCCACGCCGGCCGGGGAGGGGCGCCTCCTGACGGGCCTGGCCCGTGCCGGCCAGTGCCGGTCCTCGCCGGGAGCCGTGTCTGCTGGGAGCTCTCGCGCGCACAGGCCACGGGACACACGCTTCACACGGTCAGGGTGGACACGGGCACGCGGCGCGGGTGCGAGTGAGAGCCGCAGCCACGGCTGGGCCCTCTGGCCTGGCCTCGCCCGGGAGCGGGCTCCGAGGCCGGACCACGGCAGGGAGGCCGGGCTGCCGTCCGCAGGGAGGGCGCCCACACCCAGCCCAGCGGGTGCCTGGCCGAGCTCGGTCCCCGGTGCCCGCGGCCACCCCGGGGCTGGTGCAGGAGGCCTGGCGTGGGCTGTCCCGGCGGCGTACTCACGTTCAGGCTGCTTCCGGGGCCCCCCACGGGGAAGCCCAGGGCGCTCTCCTGCTCGATGGCCCCGAAGATCTGGGGGGGAGGGAGGGAGGGAGGGAGGGAGGGCCTGAGACGGCCACCGGGCACCGGCTGCTCGGGAGGCGCCCAGGTGCTGCACGGGCCTCTGGTCTGCTGCCCGCCAAGATGGAGGGAGCCGAGGGGCACAGGCGCGACCGCTCAGCGCCAGGCCCGGGGCCCACTGCAGCAGGTGGTGAGGCCCCGCGATGCCCTCCAGCAGGGGGGACGGGGGGGAGGGGGGATGAGGAGGGGGAAGGGGGGAGGGGGAAGGGGGGAGGAGGGCCGGGGCCCACCTGCAGCAGGTGGTGAGGCCCCGCGATGCCCTCCAGCGGGGGGGGGGGGGGGAGGTGGGTGAAGGGGGGAGGGAGAGGGAGAGGGGGGATGAGGGGGGGAGAAGGGAAGAGGGGAGAGGGGAAGGGGGGGATGAGGAAGGGGAGGTGGGAGAAGGGGGGAGGGGGGCCGGGGCCCACCTGCAGCAGGTGGGTCAGGTACCCCGCGATGCCCTCCAGCAGGGGGGAGGGGGGGAGGGGGGGATGAGGAGGGGGAGGTGGGTGAAGGGGGGAGGGGAAGGGGGGAGGGGGGATGAGGACGGGGGAGGGTTGGGGGGCCCACCTGCAGCATGCGGGTCAGGTACCCCGCGATGCCCTCCAGCAGGGGGGGAGGGGGGAGGGGGGGAGGAGGGGGAGGTGGGTGAAGGGGGGGAGGGGGGATGAGGACGGGGGGGTTGGGGGGCCCACCTGCAGCATGCGGGTCAGGTACCCCGCGATGCCCTCCAGCAGGGAGGGAGGGGGGAGGGGGGAGGGGGGGAGGGGGGAGGTGGGTGAAGGGGGGGAGGGAGAGGGGGGAGGGGGGATGAGGACGGGGGGGGGGGTTGGGGGGCCCACCTGCAGCATGCGGGTCAGGTACCCCGCGATGCCCTCCAGCAGGGGGGGAGGGGTGGGGGTGGAGGAGGAGGGGGAGGTGGGTGAAGGGGGGAGGGGAAGGGGGGAGGGGGAGGGGGGTGAGGGGAGGGAGGTTGGGGGGCCCACCTGCAGCATGCGGGTCAGGTACCCCGCGATGCCCTCCAGCAGGGGGGAGGGGGGAGGGGGAGGGGGGATGAGGACGGGGGGGGGGGGGGGGCCCACCTGCAGCATGCGGGTCAGGTACCCCGCGATGCCCTCCAGCAGGCCGCGGCTGGGCTGCCTCCGGGCGGCCTTGCGGGCGGCCATGTACAGGTTGCACTGGCTGACCAGCGCCCGCATCTCCTCCAGGGCGGAGCGCGTGTCCACGTTGTCACAGAGCGCCCGGTGCACCGCCGCCTTCTTGGCGAAGAAGCTGGGCGGGGAGGGGGGCGGGGGGAGGGGCGAGGGGGCGGCTCAGGTTGCGGCAGGGCGGGGGCGGGGGCTGACCCACACGCCCGCGCCCGCGCCCGCGCCCCGGCCTCACCTCTCGTTCAGCGCGGCCTCCTCCTCCCCCCACTTCTCGAACCGGCCGGTGACGTCCAGGGGGTCCAGGGGCGCGCGGAGCAGGCCCTTCACCGTCAGGAAGAACTCCTGGGGGGGGCGGGGGGTCAGCGGGGCAGCCTTCCTCCGCCCGCCGCCCGGGGCACATGCTCCTTCGCTCCTTCGCCCCAGGCCGGCGGGTCCCCCACCCCCGCCCGCCCCGCGCCCGCGCCCGCAACGCACACTCATGAACTTCTCGTACTGCAGGGCCGACTCCATGGTGCTGCCCGAGTAGTCCAGCGTGTCCTTCCAGGAGTGCAGGAGGAAGGCCAGGCGCAGCTGCCTCGCTGCGGACAGGAGCCATGCCTCATCGTCCTGAGGGCCCGCCCGGCCCCATCCCTGTCCCAGCCCCGGCCCCCAGCCCCGGCCCCATCCCGGCCCCCAGCCCCGGCCCCATCCCGGCCCCCAGCCCCGGCCCCCAGCCCCGGCCCTGTCCTCAGCCCCCGGCCCCAGCCCTATCCCCTTCCACGGTCCCCGTGCCCGTCCCGTCCCTGCCCGGTCACCATGCCCATCCCGTCCCCGCCCGGCCCCATCCCGGTCCCCAGCCCCGGCCCCAGCCCCATCCTCAGCCCCCATCCCCGTCCCCGTCCCTATCCCCTTCCACGGCCCCCGTGCCCATCCCGTCCCGTCCCCGCCCGGCCCCATCCCTGTCCCCATCCCCAGCCCCCAGCCCCGGCCCCAGCCCAATCCTCAGCCCCCATCCCCATCCCCGTCCCTATCCCCTTCCACGGCCCCCGTGCCCGTCCTGTCCCGTCCCCGCCCGGTCCCATGCCCGTCCCGTCCCTCATGGCCCAGTGCCGAGGGCGGCCCGGGCGGGCAGGCGGGCGGGCGCTCACCGGTGTGCCTCCTCAGGGCGTCCTTGATGGTGATGAAGTTCTTGAGGGACTTGGACATCTTGCAGCCGGCGATGGTCAGGTGGCCCGTGTGCAGGAAGTAGCGCACCCAGCAGTCGTTCTCAAAGTGGGCCTGCCGGGCGCGGGGGGGGGGGGGGTGGCTCAGTCCCAGCGGCTGCTTGTGGGGGGGCCTTTCCGGGGATGGGGGCCCCGGGCTCAGAGGGCGGCGGGGACGAGCGGGAGGGGCCGGGGCTCTAGCCCAGGCCTGTCTGCGCCCATGGCAGGCGCACGTGTGGGAAACCAGCCTAAGCAGTTGGGGGCCAGCCCCAGGGCAGACCCCGGCATGGGGCCAGGCTCTACCCCTGCCCCCCACTGGCCAGCTCCCCCTTCCCCCCAGCACCCCTCCCCGGGCGCCCACCTCGGACTGGGCCAGCTCCCCCCTTTCCCCCCAGCACTGCCCCCCAGGTGCCCACCTCGGACTGAGCCAGCTCCCCCTCCCCCCCCGGGCACCCACCTCGGACTGGGCCAGCTCCCCCTCCCCCCCCAGCTCCGCCCCCCGGGTGCCCACCTCGGACTGGGCCAGCTCCCCCTCCCCCCGGGCACCCACCTCGGACTGGGCCAGCTCCCCCTCCCCCCCAGCTCCGCCCCCCGGGTGCCCACCTCGGACTGGGCCAGCTCCCCCTCCCCCCCAGCTCCACCCTCCGGGCGCCCACCTCGGACTGGGCCAGCTCCCCGCCCCCCGGGCACCCACCTCGGACTGGGCCAGCTCCCCGCCCCCCGGGCACCCACCTCGGACTGGGCCAGCTCGTTGTCGTGGTGGGGGAAGCGGAGGTCGAAGCCGCCGCCGTGGATGTCCATCGAGGCGCCCAGGAGGGTGCCCGCCATGGCCGAGCACTCGATGTGCCACCCTGGGCGGCCCTAGGACCCAAGGACCCGGTGACTGGGGGCCCGCCCTCCGGCTGCCTCCCCCCCACATCCAGACCGAGCTGAGCTCCCGGAGCATGTGGGGAGCTGCACCCCAAAGCGAGGGACCCACCGGCAGGGTCCCGGGGCCCGCTCAGGGGCGCCACTCCCGGACCACCCCCCCCGCGGCTCCGGGGCTCCGAGGGGCCTCGCCGAGCACTCAGGCTCAGAGCCCGGGGGGCCCCGCAGCCTGCGGCCCCGGCTCACCTTTCCCCACGGGCTCGGCCAGGACGGCTCCCCCGGCTTGGAGGCCTTCCACAGCGCGAAGTCGTTGGGGGACCGCTTCTCGCTGAGGCGCTCCGCCGAGACGCTCAGGTCGCCTGTGGGACGGGCGGTCAGCGCGGCCTGGCGCCATCGCTGTGCGTCCCCCGACCGCCCGTCCTCTGACTGCCCCCCTGACCGCGCGTCCCTGACTGTCCGACTGTGCGTCCCTCTGACTGTGCGTCCCTCTGACCGCGCGTCCCTGACTGTCCCTCTGACTGTGTGTCCGTCCCTCTGTGCATGCCTCTGACTGTCCCTCTGACTGTTCCTCTGGCTATCCCTCTGACTGCGCGTCCCCCTCACTGTGTGTCCCTCTGACTGTGCGTCCCCCTCACTGTATGTCCCTCTGACTATGCGTGCCTCTGACTGTCCCTCTGACTGTGTGTCCCTCCCTCTGTGCGTGCCTCTGACTGTCCCTCTGACTGTTCCTCTGGCTGTCCCTCTGACTGTGCGTCCCCCTCACTGTGTGTCCCTCTGACTGTGCCTGCTGTGCGGGGCAGGCCCGCCTCGGGCGCTCTGCCCGGTGCGGGGCCACGTCCAGCACAGTCCTGGTCAGCGACGTTGCGGGCAGCTCGTGGGGCCCTGGACCTGGCTTAGCGGGCGCCGTGGTAACGCCTGGCTGCGGTCCTGGGCAGAGTGAGGACCGGCCAGGCCCCTGTGCGGCTTCCCAGCCAGAAGGGCCCACGGGACCCTCGCCCGCCTCCTGTGGTCACAGCCAGAGGTGCCGGAGAGCAGACCAGCGGCCGCTGTGGCCCCGGGCCTGGCAGGAACAAGGGGGTCCGTCCCCTGCGCCCCCGGGACAGACCAGGTGGTGCAGTGAGACCCATGTGACCGGAGGAGCTGGGCGACCCGCACTGAGGCCCCACTGGGTCTGCCAGGCCCGTCCTGGGAGCGGCTGCCCCCTGGTGGACGGCTCCGGCACAGGCAGCCGACCGCAGGATGCCAGGTGCCAGCCACCAGCAGGGGAACAGGTCCGCTGCTCCGAGACCACGCAGGGGCACGCGGGGGGCACGTGGGCGCTCTGGAAAAGAGGACTCGGACCCCAGGGAGCTCCCGCTCACGCCTGGCTCGCCCACTTTCCACCGGTTCCGCATCTACACGTCCGCCCGGGGAAACCCAGCAGGACCGCTCCGCTCTGATCCCCGACCCCGCAGCCGCCGCCCGCCGGGCACAGGCGCAGCCGAGAGGCGGGAGGGAGGGAGGCGGCTAACCGGTCCCCGCCCCGTCAGTCAGTAAAAGCGGGTCCACGCCTGCACAGCCCCTGGGAGCCCTCCCCTCCAGGCCCGCCCGCCGCTCACCTTCCCCCTCCTGCAGGGCCTGCTGGTCGCCCACAGCCTCGGGCACCAGCTTCCCGTAGGAGTGCCGCTCGCTGGCCGCGAACTTGACCGTGTCGAAGTAGACGGAGCCGCCGGACACGTAGCTGGGAGAAACGGACACGGGAGGTGGCAGGCCCCGGCCGCCTGGGCCGCCCGAGCCGCCGCCCGGCCCCCGGCCCCGAGGCCTGTGCTCAGTCCACGGCCGTGCGCCTGAGCCCACACCACAAGGAACGGCACTCGCAGAGGCCAGGCCTCACCCCCGGCCGGGAGCGTGTCCGTGAGCATGCAGCAGGGGGAGCGGGAGGGGAGCCAGCGTGAAAGGGTGCGGGTCACTGCGCCCGGGGAGCGTGGGGTGCAGTCCTGAGCCCCGCACCTGAGTGGCTGCCGGCTCCCAGAGGGACTGAGGGGGCCGGACCAGAGTTCTGAGCCGAGGTCGGGCTTGGAGACGGTGCACACAGGGCTCGGCGTGCCGGGCAGCACCTGCTGGCCAGGAGGGTGCCTGGCCCAGACCTGTTCTCGGGCCGGGCCGGAGCCGGCCCTGCCCTGTGCTCACCATGGCCCCTCAGGCGGCAGCTCCGACAGCGCTGGGCCCGCCCCCGGAGCGGGCTGGGCTGGGGAGGCGCCACCTGGGAACCCCGCCCGCCGGGAGCCAGGGGCTGGCTGCTCACCCGTAGCCGTTGTCCACGATCCTCTGGACAAAGCACACGATCTCGGGCACGTACTCGCTGACCCGGGTCAGCACGTCCGGAGGGAGGACCTGCGGCCACAGCGGTCAGTCTGCCCCAGTGCTGCCCTCCTGCGCCCGGCCGGGCGGCGGGGCCGGGCGGCGGGGCCGGGCAGGGGCCGGGACGGCGGGGCCGGGACGGCGGGGCCGGGACGGTGGGGCCGGGTGGCGGGGCCGGGGCAGGGACTGCGGGGCAGGGGCAGGGGCCGGGCAGGGGCAGCGGTCACTCACGTTCAGGGCCGCCATGTCCTTGTGGAACTCCGCCTCCCAGAAGCGGGGCAGCTCGGAGAAGATGGAGTTGTCCGTCACCCCGCTGCCCAGGGTGGAGTCCAGCCAGTCAGAGAGCACGTCCCGGGCCTCGTCCAGCAGCACCTGGGGGAGCAAGACACGCTGAGGCCACGGGGCCACACACACACACACACGCTAAGACCATGGGGCCACACACACACACACGCTGAGGCCACGGGGCCACACACACACACACACACACACACACACGCTGAGGCCACGGGGCCACACACACACACACACACACACGCTGAGACCATGGGGCCACACACACACACACACACACACACACGCTGAGGCCACGGGGCCACACACACACACACACACACACACACGCTGAGGCCACGGGGCCACACACACACACACACACGCTGAGGCCACGGGGCCACACACGCGCGCGCTGAGGCCACGGGGCCACACACACACACACACACACACACACACACGCTGAGGCCACGGGGCCACACACACACGCTGAGGCCACGGGGCCACACACACACACGCTGAGGCCACGGGGCCACACACACGCTGAGGCCACGGGGCCACACACACACGCTGAGGCCACGGGGCCACACACGCGCGCGCTGAGGCCATGGGGCCACGGGGCGTGGCTGGGGGTCTGCAGGGCGTGGCTGTGGTCGGGGTGGGGTGTCTGCAGGGTGAAGGTGGCAGCACTTTCGGAGGCAGAGCCGCGGGGGCGGGGGGGGGGGGTAGGACGGCAGGTGCCCCCCCAGCTCTTTGCGGCTTTCACCTCTCACCCGCTTCCGCAGGGGCTGCCGCTAATCGCCGGGAGGGGGCCTGCGGAGCGGAGGGAAGGTGCCCCCACCCGACCGGCCTTCCTCCTGCTCCCGGGGGAGCGGGGGGAGGGGGAGCCGGGCAGAAGGGGGTGGGGTGGGGTGGGGAGGGATGGGAGCCAGGCAGGAGAAGAGGGTGGGGGTGGGAGGGATGGGAGCCAGGCAGAAGGGTGGGGAGAGTGGGAAGGGGTGGGAGCCGGGCAGGAGAAGGGGGTGGGGGTGGAAGGGGTGGGAGCGGGGCAGGAGAGGGGGGAGGGGGGTAGGGAGGGATGGGAGCCAGGCAGAAGGGAGAGGGGGTGGCAGGGGGTGGGAGTGGGGCAGGAGAAGGGGGTGGGGGGAGGGGTGGGAGCCGGGCAGGAGAGGGGGGAGGGGGGTGGGGAGGGATGGGACCCGGGCAGGAGAAGGGGGTGGGGGGGGGGGAGGAGCCGGGCAGGAGAGGGGGGAGGGGGGTGGGGAGGGATGGGAGCCGGGCAGGAGAAGGGGGTGGGGGGGAGGGGGGGAGCCGGGCAGAAGGGGGAGGGGCAGGGGGCGCACTGCTCGGAGTGCCAGGAGGAGGACCACCTGGGAGCACAGGCGGCCGCGCTCACCTGCGCCCGGCGCTCCAGCTCCTCGGCGGCCAGGCCGGCGCGCAGGGCGTCCCCCAGCGGCCCGGCGGCCAGCTGCACGGCGCTCTGCATGCGCTCCAGCATCTGCTTCTTGTCGGGGTCCGCGGTGGCGCCCAGCTTCTCCGCCAGCGGCTGGAGGCGGCAAAGAGGCGCCTGTGAGCCCGCCCAGGGCTCGCCCGGAGGCCACGGCCCAGGCGGCCGTCCTCCCCAGTCCCCCGGTGGGGGGGGGACAACGGAACGTTCCAGCAGGGCCGTCCCACAAAGTGCCCGACAGCCAGACCATTAAAGCCAGAGTCCGCCCGCCAGCGTGGCTCAGGGGCTGAGCTTCAACCCACGAACCAGGAGGTCAGGGTCCAAATCCCGGCAGGGCACATGCTCAGGGTGCAGGCTCCATCCCCAGGGGGGCACGGAGGCAGCAGCCAATCCATGATTCTCGCTCATCATTGATGTTTCCATCTCTCTCCCTCTCCCTTCCTCTCTGACATCAACAAAAATACATCTTCTTTAAAAAGGAGCCCTAACCGGTGTGGCTCAGTGGATAGAGCGTCGGCCTGCAGACTGAAGGGTCCCGGTTTTGATTCTGGTCAAGGGCATGGACCTTGGTTGCGGGCACATCCCCAGTAGGGGGTGTGCAGGAGGCAGCCGACTGATGTTTCTCTCTCGTTGATGTTTCTAGCTCTCTATCCCCCTCCCTTCCTCAGTGAAAAATCAACAAAATATACTTTAAAAAAAGGAAAAAAAGAAAATGGGCGTGAGACCCGCCCTCCTCAGGCGGTGCCGGGGGCTACACAGGTGCCACCGGCCACGTGGCCCTTCCCTAAGCGAGGCTGAGCTGCCATCTGACTCCAGCTTTACCCACAGACGTTCCTCTGATCATCAGAGGCGGGGATGGTGAGTAACGGTGTCAGCTGTGCTCACAGGTGACAGATTTCTAACAGCTCATTCAGAGCGAAAAGCGGAGCTGGAAGGACCCATGTTCAGCTAACTCCGCAGAGCTCCGGGGTTCGAGCCTGTGGCCGGCGCAGCGCTGCCCCTGGGCGGGCCCACAGCAGGGACGGGCACACCGGCGCAGGCGCCGAGGCTCCCGGTTTCCCTCAGGAGCCACACCACCCGCCTGCGCCCACCGGACGGACCGAGGAGCCCGTACCCCAGGCCAGTGGCACGCGAACACGCGTGTGTGACCGGGACCGGGAGCAGCGGGACCCACCTCCAGCGCGGCGCGCACGTCCTGCAGGAGCTGGGCCGGGCGGGGCCGCCGCCCCCGGTACTGCTCGAACAGGTGGTTCTGCCGGGCCCGCCGGATGATCTGCCGAGAGAGGGCCCGGGCCGCTCAGAGCCAGCCCGGCCCCGCGGGCGCCCCGGGGTGAGGGCCCCCCGGGTGAGGGCCCCCGAGCCCGAGTGCTCGCCACCAGTGACCGCGAACACCCCCGAGCCGGCCCTCCGTCACCATGTGACCCGCCCGGTCCTAGCGACCGGCCTCCAGGGTCTGACTCCCGGGCACGGCCGTTTGCCTGGACTGCGACCCCCACCGGGTCAGCGGACCTCGTCCTGCTTCCTTTTCCCAAAGTCGTCTCTTTACCATGTTACCTTGCCCTGGTCGGTTGCTCAGTGGTTAGAGCGTTACCCTGTGCACCAAAGGGTGTTGGGTTCGATTCCCGGTCAAGGGCAGGTACCTGGGTTGCAGGTTAAATCCCCGGCCCCATCAGAGCGAGTACGGAGGTAACCCATTGATGTGTCCTTCTCACATCAATGTTTCTTTCCCTGACTCTCCCCACCTCCCTCCCTCCCTCCCTTCCACTCTCTCTAGAAATCAAGGGAGAGGGGAGAAATATCCTCCAGCAAGGATTCACAAAAAAAACTAAAAAAAAAACCCCTAAAAGTGAAATCTACATAAATCTATATAAAAGCCTGAGCGACCATCTGACCAGTATCTCTGATGCACCCTGGCCACCAGAGGGCAGACACTCTGACCGGCAGGTTAGCTTGCTGCTGGGATCCAGCAGATCCCGACTCGGCGAGACAGGCTGGACATGCCCTGGGTCCCTCCCAGCCCCAATCGTGCACCCGTGGGGTCCCTCAGCCCGGCCTGCGGACATCCCCTGAGGAGTCCTGGATCGGGAGAGGGCGCTGCAGGAATCACGCCCCAGGCCCCTCGTAAATAAATAAACGCAGTGTGCTGCCAGCACCCGTTACCTTGTCGTCGATGTCTGTGATGTTCATGCAGTAAAACACGTCGAACTGGAAGTAGTCCCTCAGCACCCGACGCAGGATGTCGAAGGAGATGTAGGACCTGGAGCAGAGAGGCCATCTCCCACTGCACGCCGAGCCGGCCACGGCAGGCCACGGCCACGGCCACGGCTCGCCCCCTGCCGGCCACGGCCACGGCCACAGCAGGTAGCCCAGCGCCTGGGCCCTCCCACCTCCTCCCACCCCCTGCCCGAGCTGCGGGGCGGGCAGCAGGCAGCCGGTCAGTGGTTCTGTCATCTCTGACGTCCTCCCTCACCCTCTCCTGTCCTCCCTGAATCCACAAAAGCATAAACAAGAGAGACGCCGGCTGCCCTCCTCCCCGACGCGGCCCTACCTGGCGTGGCCCATGTGGGACGCGTCGTACACGGTGGGCCCGCAGCAGTACCAGGTCACCCGCCGCCCACGCTGCGGCACAAACACCTCCTGCGGACACGGGCGCGGCGTCACGGAGCCGGGCCGGCCCGGCGCGCTTCACACCCGGCCACCGGGGCGGGGGCTGAGGTCACACGGGGGCACGGGGGGGGGGTCTGAGGTCACACGGGGGGACGGGGGTCTGAGGTCACACGGGGGGGCGGGGGGGCTGAGGTCACACGGGGGCACGGGGGGGGGGTCTGAGGTCACACGGGGGGACGGGGGTCTGAGGTCACACGGGGGGGCGGGGGGGCTGAGGTCACACGGGGGGACGGGAGGGTCTGAGGTCACACAGGGGGGGACGGGGGGGGGACGGGGTCTGAGGTCACACAGGGGGGATGGGGGAGGTCTGAGGTCACATGGAGGGGGGGGCCGGGGTCTGAGGTCACACGGGGGAGTGGGAGCGGGGCGCAGGCCGGGCAGACGCCAGGCGGCTCTCCCAAGCGAGGTGGTCGTCCTCTCCGCCCCGGACGCCGCTCCGGCCGCAGGGTGGCACCCGGCGGGCACGGGGACCCACGCCCGGACTCAGGGCCCGAGCCCACAGGCGACGCCACGTGTCCCCGCCAGCTGCTGACCTTGTTGCGGGTGAGGCTGTTGTACAGGCGCAGCTTGCAGGGCTCGGAGCCGGCCGGGGGGGCCCACGGGGGCTGCGCACGCCGGCCTCTACCTGCGGGCAGAGGGGCATGACACGGACCTGAACATACAACGAGCATGACACGGACCTGAACAACATACATGAGCACGACATGGCACTGAACATGTGCATCCGCCAGCGCCGCCACGTCCAGCGGCTGCTCCTCAGCTCTGCTCGCCATGCAGAGCCCACGGTCACCAGCCCCCACTGCCCTTCAGGGACCCCTCTCACCGCTCCCCGGCCGCCCGTGGGGTGGGGCCCTGGATGCAGGCACAGGAACGTCCATTCCCTTGTGTCCCTCCCTCTCGCCTTTTCCCTAATAAATCACACCACACGGCTTCACAGCCGGCCGTGCAGCCAGGAGCCGCCACCCTCGTAACACCCGGTGCCGCCTGCCCGCCCGCCCAGCACAGCCCGCCCGGCACTACCCGCCCGCCTACCCGCCCGCCTACCCGCCCGCCTACCCGCCCGCCTACCCGCCCGCCTACCCGCCCAGCACAGCCCTCCCGCCACGTACAGCCCACCCACCTACCCGCCCGGCACTGCCCTCCCCGTACAGCCCACCGCCCACCCGCCCTGTACAGCCCGCCCGCCTACCCGCCCGCCTACCCGCCCGCCTACCCGCCCGGCACAGCCCTCCCGCCTACCCGCCCGGCACTGCCCTCCCTGTACAGCCCACCGCCCACCTGCCCACCCGCCCGGCACTGCCCGCCCACCTACCCGCCCGCCTACCCGCCCGGCACTGCCCGCCCGCCCCGTACAGCCCGCCCGCCCGGCACTGCCCGCCCACCTACCCGCCCGGCACTGCCCGCCCCGAGCCTTTACGAGCGGCTTTGCGGCCCCGCCGGGCGGCTGCCCTGTCATTACCCGGCCAGGCCTCCCGGCGTCACCGCAGTCGCACTGCGGGGGCAGCTGGCGCGTCCAGAGGGCCGGGCGGCGGCCGGGAGGGCACAGTCACAGGGTAATTGCAGCCGCTGCCCCAGCACGTCGGAGGGAGCAAAAGCAGGTCAGCTCGGGGGGAGAGAGCGGCTCCTGAGCAGGGGCCCCAGCCCATCCCGCACGCTACCGGGGGCCGCCGCCTGCGGGGCGCGGAGAGAGGCTGGGAGACAGCCTCCCCGCGGACACAGCCTCCCCGTGGACACAGCCTCCCCGCGGACACAGCCTCCCCCACACACAGCCTCCCCGCGGACACAGCCTCCCCCACAGCCTCCCCGCGGACACAGCCTCCCCGCGGACACAGCCTCCCCCACAGCCTCCCCGCGGACACAGCCTCCCCGCGGACACGGCCTCCCCCACAGCCTCCCCGCGGACACAGCCTCCCCGCGGACACGGCCTCCCCGCGGACACAGCCTCCCCGCGGACACGGCCTCCCCGAGGACACAGCCTCCCCCACGGCCTCCCCGCGGACACAGCCTCCCCGGGACGCAGGCTCCCCAGGCAATGACGGCTCGCAGTGACAGGACCGTGAAGAGGCAGGCCGGCCGGAGGCAGAGGGAAGGAGAGTGTGAGCCCCCGGGGGGGCTGGGAGCGGTCAGCCCTGTCACTGCGTGGGGCTGTGGGCCGGGCCCATGCAGTCCTTGTGCCCATGAAGGCGGCCGCTCCGGGGAACGGGCAGCGCTCTCTGCGGAGCGGGCAGTGTGGGCGCGGCTCCGGGCTGGGCACGAGGCTGCGGGCGGCCGGGGGACACGGCCTTCCGGGAGGTTCCGTCCCCGGCCTGGACCGGAGGAGTGCTATCCCCTCACGCAAAGGCGGCCTGCAGGCCAGGCGGTCGCTGCTGCCAACGGCGCCGAGGGCATCCCTCTGCCTGAGGCAGCGGCTCTGCGGGTCCCTCTGTGGCCTCCGGCTCGGTGCAGCCGCCTGAGCCGGCGCGGTGAGGGCGGCGTTTACAGCCGCGCTCAGGGGCGGGGATCGAGGTCAGGGCGTCTGCTGCTGGGCTGTGGCTTTGAAGGACAAGACTGAGCCGCAGTAAAGACTGGATTGTCGCCCTGGCCGGTATGGCTCAGTGGATCGAGCGTCGGCCTGTGGACTGAGGGGTCCCGGGTTCGATTCCGGTCAAGGGCTCCATCCACAGTGGGAAGCGTGCAGGAGGCAGCCGATCAGTGATTCTCATTATGGATGTTTCTCTCTCTCTCTCTCTCCCCCTTCCTCTCTGAAATCAATGAAAACATAAACAAAAACAAAAACAAAACAACACACATCATTATGGTCAATTATTAAAACATAAAAATCAGCCCTGGCTGGTTTGGCTCAATGGATGGAGCGTGGGCCTTCGGGCTGAGGGGTCCCAGTTCCATTCCGGCCAGGGGCACAGGCCTGCAGCTGAGGGGTCCCAGTTCCATTCCCGCCAGGGGCACAGGCCAGGGTGGCAGCTCCATCCCCAGCAGGGGCCCGGCAGGAGGCAGCCGGGGGGATTCCCCTCTTCATTGATGTTCCCGTCTCTCTCCTCCCCCTTCCCCTCTAAAAGCAATAAAATGTATTTTAAAGAGTAAGATGAAAACCAATGGGAAAGACTGAGTAAGCCCTGGGGTGAGAATTAACAAGGACAAGAACTGAACCAAGAACACACTTTTCTCTAAAAGACAGAGAACCAGGCTGCGCTCTTCCGCCGGGACTTTGGGGCCGCGCCCGCGGCGGGTCCTGAGGCAGCGGCAGGGCGGGACCCCGGCCGCCCCGGGTCCGAGTCCGGGGAGGCAGCCGGCTCGGCGGGTGGAGGCGGCGGGACCCGGGCACCAGGAGGCGGCACCCGCGGGCGGGAGGGGGCACCGGAGCCGGCGGCCCCGGCCCCGAGGCGGCCCGGAGGAGGGGGTCCCGCGGCGCCGGCCCGCCCGGGGCTCAGGCCGGTGGCCGCGCGGCTGCCCTCGGACCCGGGAGCCGGCGAGCTCCGCCCGACCCGACCCGACGCCACCGGGGCGGCGGGACCGTCCGGCCCGCGCCCGCCCAGGACCGGGTCAGCCCTCCGGCCGGGGCCCCGCCGGCCGGGGCACCACGCGCGCTCGCTCACCCTGATCCGCGGAGGAGCCTGCCATCCCGGCGCCCGACCGATGCCCAGCCACCGCTTCCCCGAAGCTGATGCAACTGCCGGAAGTCCCGCCCCGCGTCCCAGTCACTAAACAACCGCCCGGGGCATTCTGGGAGTTGTAGTTCTGACTCGGCGGCTGGAGCGGCGTCCTCAGGACCAGGATGGTGTCCAGCAGGAGCGACAGCTGCAGGCGAGGCCGCCCAGAAACCGAGGAGACAGACCCAGCGCGGAGACACGGGCAGAAAGCCAGGACGAGGGGACAGGAAACGGGCAGACAGGGACACGGCGGTGCAGCCCACTAGGAAGATCAGATGCCACCTAAGCCAGTGTGGTCAGCAAACCGCGGCTCGCGAGCCACATGCGGCTCTTTGGCCCCTTGAGGGTGGCTCTTCCACAAAATACCACGGCCTGGGCGAGTCTATGTTGAAGAAGTGGCGTGAGAAGAAGTTTAAGTTTAAAAAATGTGGCTCTCCAAAGACATTTCAATCATCGTCCTGTTGATATTTGGCTCTGTGGGCTCATGAGTTTGCTGACCACTGTCCTAACAAAATCCCATCTCGCCTCAACTAAGGACACTTCAGAGCAAATGGTTTGCCTCCTCCCCAGCTAGCAAGCAAAGAGCCTAGACCCCCCCCCTCGGGGACAGCAGAACCCAGGCCCAGTGCAACCTCAACACTGGCCGTCTCAGCTTCTCAGCCTGAAAACGAGAGACTGCGCCACGGAGTCAGTGTCCCTGTTAACACCTCCAGGGTGGTCCTGGGAACATTTTTTACTGTACATTTCCCTTCCTTTTGGTTAAATTGTCACCAACATGTTATGTCCTTTTTGTTTTCAAAGTGTTTATTTATAAACTGTGTTGTGGGGTTGAACCCTGGGTTCAGAATAAGACAACCGGAGGCTGAAGATGGATTAAAACACAGTCAAGGATTTATTGAAAAACTGGCCAGGACCGCAAGAGCACCACACGCAGGTGGACTCCACACGACCTCACCATTTCAGAGGTAGGCAGTCTTTTTAAAAGTCTAAACCACAAGGATTTTCCTTTGTTCTGAATTCCAAATCCTAAAGACTACATTCTAAAGACTGGGGACAGGGTGGGTTCCCAGTCACATCCGGCTGGACAGTGGAATGTGGCCCTGTTTTGCGATAGTGATAACACAGAAGCAGAGCTCAGAGGCTATCTCCAGTGTCTATCCCTGAAGCTACTGAGTCAGTGGGAATCAGTCTCCTGTGGTCCTGGTCCCAGGCAAGGGAAAATTGTCTTAGCCTCCAGGTCTCCACCTGGAAGCTGAGGTAAATATCCTGTGTTTAATCAGGTGCAGGAGTCAGACTAGAGGAGTTAAAATTCAAACAGCAGTTTTTTACCTGAGTATGGTTGTTACTATACTCAACTGTAAAAAGACATGAGCTGCATATAAAAAGGTGTGTCATACAATACGAGTGTCCTCTGGGGCTGGAAGGGACGAATTCCGTGCACATCACTTCTGGTGGGAAAGCAGGATTCAGTGCACTGAGGTCTTTAGTTGATCTCCTCCCTGCCACCCCCTCCGCCTTCATCCTTCAGGTGTCGAAGTCACAACCTTTGGCTAAAAGAACATCTTAGTAAGGCACTTAAAAAGGGTCTCAGACCATGGCTCAGAGGATAGAGCACCGGCCTATGGACTGAAGGATCCTGAGCTCGATTCTGGTCAAGGTCACATGTTGTGGGCTCAGTCCTCAGTAGGGGGTGTGCAGGAGGTAGCGGGTCAGTGATCTGAGATGGTTCTGGTGGTGTGTAGGCCGCCGGGAGCACAAGGGGCTGGCTCCCTCCCGGCGGGGTCTTCCAGGGAGCAGCATCTCACAACACGGCCACAGATTCCAGGGCACAGAAGGTCATGGGTCCCACAGCCATTTCCTTCCAGCCCAGCCTGAGGTCCAAGTTCACCAGGGAGCCTATTGGGCGGCTGAAAAGGGAAATCAGAAGGAAGACGGGCCTCACACTCCAGAAGGTGTGTGTGGCCAGGACCTGGTGCGGCCCCCCACCTGCCTGCCCCCAGCCCACAGCCGGCAGCCCATGACCTGGCAGAGGGGACCCAGGATCTGGGAGTCGGCACCCTGGGGCAGGGGAACGGGTTTGCCGAGGTTGGCCTGGGCTTCCTCTCCAGCTCCCAGCAGGGCCCGTGGGACGGATAAGGGTGAGCCTTGCTGGGACCGGAGGCTGGGTGGGGTCTGCAGCCTCGTGGGCTCCAGGTTGCTGCACTTTGACCTGTGAAGTGGGGGGTCTCCCGGAGCTGCCGAGAGGATGGGGTTCCAGAAAGCACCTGGCAGCCCGGCTGGTGTGGCTCAGTGGATAGACCATCAGCCTGTGGACTGAAGGGTCCCGGATTCGATTCCGGTTAAGGGCAAGTGCCCAGGATGTACGCTCTATCCCCAGTGGGGGGGGCGGGGAGGGGGAGGCGTGCAGGAGGCAGCCGATCCATGATTCTCTCCCATCACTGATGTTTCTATCTCTCTCCCTCCCTCTCTGACATCAATAAAAATGTGTATTTTAAAAAGCAGTCTTTCTCTTGCACCAGCAACAGCAGCCCACAGCCGGGAGGGCCTACAGGCCAGGTCCCAGAGTGTGCCCGGCGGCCACGCGTGGTCTCCTCAGAAACGCACACACATCCTCACACCACGCAGCCCGCCACCTTCCTTCGGGACAGTGGCTCGGCCTTCCTGATGCCGCGGCCTTCAGTGCCGCCGCTCGTGTGGCGGCGACCCCAGCCATAGAGTTGTTCCCGTTGCTGCTTCATCACTGTGCTGCTGCTGCTGCTGCTGCTAACGAGTCGTACTGTAAATGTCTGTGTTTGCCGATGGTCTGGGGCTCCACAGCAGCCGTTCTCAGCCTGTGGGTCGCCTAAGACAGTGGTCGGCAAACTGCGGCTCTCGAGCCACATGCGGCTCTTTGGCCCCTTGAGTTTTTGGCAAAGGCCAGCTTAGGAGCAGTACCCTAATTAAGTTAATAACAATGTACCTACCTACATAGTTTAAGTTTAAAAATTTTGGTTCTTTGCCGAAACCGGTTTGGCTCAATGGATAGAGCGTCGGCTTGGGGACTGAAAGGTCCTGGGTTCGATTCCGGTCAAGGGCATGTACCTTGGTTGCGGGCATATCCCCAGTAGGGGGTGTGCAAGAGGCAGCTGATCGATGACTCTCTCTCGTCGATGTTTCTAACTCTCTATCTCTCTCCCTTCCTCTCTGTACAAAATCAATAAGATATATTAAAAAATAAAAATAAAAATTTTGGCTCTCAAAAGAAATTTCAATCGTCGTCCTGTTGAGATTTGGCTCTGTGGACGAAGGAGTTTGCCGACCACTGGCCTAAGGCCATCGGAATGTACAGATATTTACATTACGACTCATAACAGCAGCAGCATTACAGTGATGAAGTAGCAACGGAAATACTTTTAGGGCTGGGGGTCCCCAGCACCTGAGGAGCTGTGAAAGGGCGCGGCCTCAGGAAGGTGGAGAACCGCTGCTTTAGAACCAAAACTTATCCTGGAAAAAGGCCCATTTCCCCAGGGTCGCCGGTGAGAGTGAGAGTGAGTGCCGAGTCCACCGAGAAGCCCCACCCTCAGGCCCCGCACAGGAATCCCCAGAGCCAGACGGAGACCGGAGACCGGAGACCGGGAAGACTTACCATCAGGGCATGTCCTTCACCAAACAGGCATTTGTGTTCCTGAGGAGAGAAGAGCCATTGTCCCAGGACAGCCCTGGCGGCTTTGTGGGGGCACGGCGGGGGCGGGGTGGGGTGGGGGTGGGCAGGTGTCAGCCCTGGCAGCGGGGCCTCCTGCCACGACTCCCAGGGCGGCACCGGCGGGCACTCGCTGCCTCTCCGTGGCCCCCGGGCCCCTGTCCCGTGGACAACAGCTGGGGCGGGACTGCTGTGGTGTGAGTGCTGTCCCCAGAGATACTGGCGTCCTAGCCCCCGAGGGCGAAGGCGGCTGAGCTGGGAGGAGGGACCAGGAGGCCCTGGCCCAGCACGGGGGTCCCTGTGACGGACAGCCGCACTGGCAGGGAGGACGCCGCGTGAACGAGACGGCATGCATCGCTGTCCCCCAGCCCGCCCAGGCCCCTCACCTTCTCCGGGGGACGGAGGCCGGCGGCAGCAAGAGACAGGGTCGCCGGCTCTGGGGCTTCCTGGCTGCCTCCCTCCACCTCCACCTCCACCTCCACCTGCAGCTCCACTCCTGCCCCGGGGTCGGGGTCGGTGGCGGGGTCGGGGTCGAGGACAGAGTCCGGGGTCGGGGTCGGTGTCAGGGTTGGGGTCGAGGACAGAGTCCGGGTCGGTGTCAGGGTCAGGGTCGGTGTCGGGGTCAGGGTCAGGGTCGAGGACAGAGTCTGGGCCGGTGTCAGTGTCGAGGACAGAGTCCGGGTCAGTGTCAGGGTCGGGGTCGGGGTCGGGGTCGGGATCGGCTGAGGATCCCAGGTGGGTCTGGGCCCCGGGCGTCGGGGTGGAGGTCTCCTTCAGCAGCTGTGTGGTCTCCGCGTTGGGGGCCAGGGGGTCGCTCTCAGGGTCCATGGTTTTCAGAATCTGGACGAGATGGATGTTGCCAAGTGACTAAAGGACAAAGCCGTTCCTGTGTGACAGGAGCCGCGGCACAGCCCCCCCGAGACACTCTGTGTGTGTGTGTGGGGGGGGGGCAGGCCACGTGGCCTGAGGGTCAGAGGGGCTGTGCCTTTTAGAGAAAAACACCCCATGAGCTCAGGTTCCAGCATGGGCCCAACACCAGGTGGCGCCCGGCTGGCGTGGCCAGTGGCTGAGTGTCCTTGACCAGAATCGAACTCGGGACCCTTCAGTCTGTAGGCCAACGCTCTATCCACTGACCCACACTGGCCGGGGCATCATCCATGTTTCTCTCTCCTCTCTCTGAAACCCATAAAAACGTTTTTTAAAGACAGGGCTGAATGGTGCCCACAGAAAGATGTGCCCACGCCGCCAGGGCCTGTGACGGGGCCTCATTTGGAAATGGGGGCTCTGCTGCC